TAAATCATGAGGGATTTAGTTTTTCAACAGACTAAGAGCTCTTATCATCGGAGGAAATTTCTGCTTATTAGGATATTACAGTGCATGTCATTGAATATCACTTAGTTTTACTTTTATCCTATGCAGCTGAACAAGTATTTAATTAATACCAATTATAGTCTCTTCACTCATCTGAATCCCCTTTGTTCTCATGTCTTTTATTTTCATTTGGGGGGGATAGGATTTGGGTCACACTTGACTGTGCTCAGGAGTTACTCCCAGTAGCTCAGGAGACTGTGTAGTGCCAGGAACTGACCCCAGCCTCCTGCACACAGAGCACATACTCCATCCTTCAGGTGTCATTCGCCCCATTATTTTAATTTTTAAATGAAGTATCTCGTGCACATTGTACAGTAAGTTGTAGAACGAAGATAACGCCTTCCCATTCCCCTGACTCAGCCACCTTTTGCTGCCCAGTTTTCTCAATTCTGCGCCAGTTTCTTATGTATTCTTCTTGAGGTAATCCTTGCCCATGTAAGCAGCTGTGTGTAGGATATTCTAAACCCTCACAAATATTGCTAGCAACCTCTGATAGATTTGTATTCAGTGCGCTTGGCCCTGTGACTGGGCCCTGTGATTAAGGTGATGGTTATAGATTCAGCAATAGCAGCAAGTGAGTTGCAGGAAGGAGTTTGAGAAGTGTGGGAGGTTGGGGCTGGTTCTGTGGGAATGTTTACGATTATGACACTCTTCTCAGAACCCAGAGGCCACCACTGTGAGGTACCCAATCCAGCCATGTGGAGAGGCTACATGCAAGAAAACTAATATCCCTGCCAACAGCCAGCAAGATGCCAGCAGCATCTTGGCAGCCCAGTGATGAATGACCCATCTACTGGAAGTGGCCCCTCCAGTCCCATTCAGACCACCCCAGAAGATGCTGCATCTATCAGAGGAGCTTTCCCTGCTGAGCCCTGTCCCAGCTGTAAAACTGTGAGCTCTTCTTACAAGCCACTAGTTTTGGTCTGCTCTGCAGCAGTTGATAACCTAAGTGCTGTGTACACCATATATACCATCTTTTTCATTGCTCTGTGTATTGGTTATCAGTCTGACTCAGTACATATTTGCCTCACACACCCTCCCACTTAACTTTTTAAATTTAATTTAATTTTTTATAAGGTAGTTCACAATATTCGATTGCATTTAATATTAGAACAACAATCACACCACCTTTCCATCACCATATTTCGGATGTTTTCATTCTGAACCCTAACCCCTGCCCCAAAGCAGACCCGAAATAATTTATTTTCTATTGTTTGTTATGAATAAACTGCTAAAAATGCTTCAGAAAAGTTTCCTTAGAGGAAAGTGTGTGACGATTGTTGTATTTCACTCAGGGGCCATTAAGCCCTTCTATAAGAGATTACTAACATGGAACATATTGTTAAAGTTTGAGCCTTGTGTGTATATGTATATATAATATCTGTAAAAATATATTTCCCTCTAAGATTGGTTGCCTTCTACTTTATTTCTATTTTTATTTAATTTAATTTTTTTAATTGAATCACCGTGAGAAGTTACAAAGCTTTCAGGTTTAAGTTTCGGTCATACAATGATCAAACACCCATCCCTTCACCACTGCACATTTTCCACCACCAAGAACCCCAGTATACCCTCCATCCGACCCCTCCCCCTGCCAGTGTGGCAGATGATTTCCACTCTACTCTCTCTACTTTGATTACATTCAATTTTTCGACAGAAGACCTACCATTATTATTTGGAATTTCCCCCCAACATTCAGACCTGCCAAAAAAGCATCATTAGATCATTTGTTTTCTATTGCTGATAGTGAAGAGTATATGATGTTGCGGGGCCGCAATAGCAGCCATAAAATTTTGGATTTCTGATGTTTTAGTAATGAAGTTCAGAGGGATTTCTGCCAGAAGCCACTGGGTTCTGGGATTGGTTTGTGGCCTCTGGGATCATGGCCATTCAGGAGCCGGAGGAACTGTTTGTTGGCAGCAACTCGGGGTCTCATCGGGGCAGGGAGAAGGACCGGTTCGAGCCCCCATCCCTCAAGGCCCTGCGTGTGTTGTCACTGCAAGCGTGTGCCTCTCAGTCCAATAGGCTCTGGAGCTATAGCACAGCGGGTAGGGCGTCTGCCTTGCACGCAGCCAACATGGCCGACCCGAGTTCGATTCCTCCGTCCCTCTCGGAGAGCCTGGCAAGCTACCGAGAGTATTCGATATGCCAGACACAGTAACAACAAAGTCTGCAATGGAGACGTTACTGGGCCCGCTCGAGCAAATCGACGATCAACGGGAGGGCCTTTACCTTTTACCTTTTACCATGAGGTACAGTTGTAGATTTACAATTTTTTGTGCTTGGGTTTCAATTATACAATGATCAAATACCCATCCCTCCACCAGTGCCCATTTTCCACCACCATGGATCCCAGTATCCCTCCCACACCCATCCCCCCATCCCACCCTGCCTCTGTGGCAAGGCATTCCCTTTTGTTCTCTCTCTCCTTTTGGGTGTTGTGGTCAGGAAGCAGCCTTTTTTATTCCCAGGGCCATCTCTCTGGCCTTTAGAGTGATTGTCTATGAAAACATTTTAAAATAATTTTTCATTTCAAACCAACCAATCATTTTCTTTGTGACTACAAATGAACATTTGTATAGTCAGTTTTATTTCTTTGTTATTTATTTACTTGGGAGCTTCCCAAGCAGTGTGGGGCCCAGTGCCACTCCCAGCTATATTCAGGCCCATGGTGGGTTTGAATTGGGTTTGAGTTCTGTGGTGCGAGGGTCATCAGGGCCACCGGCTGGACTTTGGCAGCCGCAGTGTTCTCTCTCCAGCCCTTTGAAGTCTCTCCAGGCCCCCATAGCCTGTTTTAAAAGTTGTTCCAGGGACCAGAGCAATAGCACAGTGAGTAGGGTATATGCCTTGCTCGTAGCTGACCGGGGTTCAAGCTCTGGCATCCCATATGGTCTCCTGAGCACCACCAGGAGTTATACCTGAAGTGCAGAATCAGGAGTAACCTCTGAGCACTGAGTATGACATCCCCAAATACGCCCAAAATAAAAAGTTAGTTCAAGGTTCACCTTGTTAAGCTACTCAAAAACTGAACTTAGTGATCTATTGCATAGATAGAGGCATAGAGGAGGTTGGTGTGCATTGTTGAGATTTACTTGAAGATAAGCTGGTATGTATACATGTACAGTGGCATGCATTTAAAGAAAATAGATCATGTATCATTTATGAAGATCTGAACAACTTTTTGAAATATAAAAGAATCACTATCACTATCACCCCTCTATTCATCAATTTGTTCGAGTGGGTGCTAGTAATGTCTCCATTCGTCCCTCTCATGTGCTAATGTAGCCCGATGACATAATGGGGGCTCTTTCAGGGACAGGGGAATGAGTATCATCATTGTTACTGTTTTTGGCATATCGAGTACGCCACAGGTAGCTTGCCAGGCTCTGCTGTGCAGGTGGGATGCTCTTAGTAGCTTGCCGGGCTCTCCAAAAGGGATGGAGGCTTTGGGGGAAGCCTCTGATCACCTTTACAGGTATTCCCAGTCAGGCATATATGCATATATATGATACTCACTAATCCCATCAATGGCCAAGACTCAGAGACTATAAAATCCAGCTCCCGGAACCTCATTCGCGGCCGCGCGACATCTTATCAGGACATCTTTTTATGACATCTTATTATCTCATTCCTACTTTGGACAAACTTGCAGGCTATCGAATGTAGCCTGCCCACAGGGCAGAGTCTGGCAAACTCCCCGTGGCGTACCAAATATGCCAAATACCAGTAACAATGATGGGTCTCATTCTCCTAAAGAGCCTTGAATATAATCTCAGGGCTAGGATGAAAGAGACGTTACTGGGGCCTGCTCGAGGCAATCGACGAATAACAGGATGATGAATGAATGAATGAATGAATGATACTCACTTAATTGGGCAGAGCACCTGCAATGTAGGTAATGGCCTCGGCTGTTCTGAACACCTAGGGGGGCAGTGACACTTGGTGGAGGCAGAACAGAGAAGTTTCTTCTTAAACTTCACTTCCTGTTCCTCCAGCCTACCTTGCGACCCTCGCCCATTGCTGCCTATCGTCTTGCTCACGCATAGTTATTTCCCCTGATACCCAGCAGACCTTGTTGATGCCAGGACCTGGAGGTGGGCCTTTGCAGCACGTGGCCTGGGTGGGTACCAGGCTGTAATGCCTGTTGAGAGAATGGAGTAGACAGCCCACGTGAAGAAGCGGCATCAGGTGGTGTCCGCTCCTGACCTTTACATTGCAGCAGGAGCCCCAGTGTTTGAGTTGCCAGGACTGAGTTCCAGGTATCCGCTGGCATGGGAAGAGGCTCTCTTGGGATGTCTGTCCCTCCACTGGAGACCACTGTGTGTGCCCCTGCGGTGGGGTTCCCTGTGTTTGCTGTGTGCATGGGAGCTCCATCACGCCCTCCTCCTTTCCTGCAGAAAACTCCGAGCCTCCCACCCTGAGGAGGAAGAAAAGTGTTTCATTCAGGCAGGCCTATGGCCTCAAGGTCTTAGCTAGAATGCAGAGCTGAGCCCAAGAACCCCAGCAGTGGAAGGAACCCTTCCAGCCCCCATTTTGTCGAGAAGGAACACATCCAGCCCTCTTTATCGCTTTCCCCAACCTGTGTTTCATGCTACTCTCAGGCTTTCAACACCATGGTCTTGTTTTCTGGTTTTTTTTTTTTTCTGCATCAGACAGGCTGAGGTATTTGTGAAAATATTGAGTTCTGGGCCTGAGTGGTAGCAAAGAGCCCTCAGTAATTGCTTTACACGTGACCAACTCTGATTCAGTCCTAGGTATCCCATACGGTTCCCCCAAGCACCTCTGGGAGTGAGACCTGAGTGCAGATTCAGGCATCAACCCTAAGCACCACTGGGTACAGCTCCCTTACCCCCACCCACTCAATAAAATGAAGAAAATTCTGAGCTGTGAGTATAAAAACTTGTGGCATCTTTTCCTTTTAGGTCCTCTCTAACCTCTCAGTACCAGCCCGGGCCTGGGAGCCAGCAATGAAGCAGAATTTCGCCTTCGACAACATTGGCTACGAAGACGGCCTGGAAGATGCCTGTCCTCCCCCGACCACCACTGGCGCCATCAGCATCCAGGGCATGACCTGCCTGTCATGTGTTCAGTCCATCGAGGGCAGGATCGGCCACCTGCAGGGCATTGTGAGCATCAGGGTCTCCCTGGAACGAGGCAGCGCCACGGTGGAGTACTTGCCTTCAGTCCTGAGCCTGCAACAGATCTGCCGTCACATCGAGGACATGGGCTTTGAGGCCCGACCCATGGAGGCCAAGGCTGCCTCCTGGCCTTCGAGGTCGGAGCCGGCACTGGAGGCCGTGGTCAAGCTTCGGGTGGAGGGCATGACCTGCCAGTCCTGCGTCAGCTCCATCGAAGGCAAAATTGGGAAGCTGCAAGGTGTGGTGAGGATCAAGGTCTCACTCAGCAACCGTGAGGCCGTCATCACCTACCAGCCTTACTTCATCCGGCCCCAGGACCTCCGGGACCATGTCAATGACATGGGCTTTGAAGCTGTGATCAAGAACAAAGGGACTCCTTTGAGCCTAGGACCCACTGCTATCCAGCGGTTAAGGGACAACAATTCCAAGACACCTGTAGCTTCTGCCAACCAGAATCCCAGTAACACAGAGACCCTGGGGAACCCAAGGACTCCCTTGGTCCCTCTGGAGCTGAGAGTGGAGGGCATGCACTGTAAGTCTTGCGTCCTGAACATCGAGGAGAACATAGGCCGGCTCCCGGGGGTCCAGAGTATCCACGTGTCCTTGGAGAATAGAGCTGCCCAAGTGCAGTATGACCCTGCCCGTGTCTCCCCAGAGGCCCTGCAGAGGGCCATCGAGGCGCTGCCACCTGGGAACTTTCAAGTTTCTCTTCCTGAGGGGAGCAGGACAGACGGTGGATCTCTGGGCCGCTCCCTAGCACCTCCCCAGCACCTGCCAGGGCAGGATGTGTGCTGTACCACAAGGCTTGCCATTGTTGGCATGACTTGTACGTCCTGTGTCCAGACCATTGAAGGCGTGATCTCGCAGAAGAAAGGGGTGCGGCAAATCCTGGTCTCCCTGGTTGAGGGAACTGGAACAATTCTCCACGATCCCTTTGTGATTAACCCTGAGGAGCTCCGAGCTGCTGTAGAAGACATGGGATTCGAGGCTTCTGTCATTCCTGGTGGGTAGTCGCTGCATGCCAAGTGCACCGTGGCTCAGTCGCCTTTCCTTTGTGTCTGTTTGACAGTTTGCCCTCGCTCCGATGAGTGGGTCACACTTACTTCCTTTCATGGTACTGATGGCCATTGCATTAGGCAAATTTCCCTCCTGTCTTTTTTTGTTTGTTTGTTTGTTTGTTTGTTTGTTTGAGGGCTATGCCTGGAGATACTCAAAGGTTACTCCTGGCTCTGCACTCAGGAATTACTCCTGGCAGTGCTCAGGACACCATATAGGATGCCAAGGATTGAAGCCATGTCAGCTTCAGGCAAGGCAAATGCCCTACCCGCTCTGCAGTCTCTTTCCTCCTTTCCCTGCTATCTTCAGTGTGTTAGGATCCAATTTTTCCCAAATGTTTAGATTTCGCCTCTCACTGGGCTGCAAGAAGTCACACTTCTTGGTTTTGGGGTTGCTCTGCCACTAGGAACCCAGATTCTGAGTTCTTTTAAGAATCAAGTCGTTCTCTCTCCAGTGGGACTTGCTCGCTTAAACTGAGATGCCCCCACCCCCACCCCTGGCACCTGCAGGGCTTGCAGGCTGGCCACCTGGAACTGGCCTGTTGAAGGGGGAAATTAAGGCAAGGCTCTCAATTAGCATGTCACTGGAGTGTTCAGGGAACCTTCCTGTCATTGAGAAAACATCCCAGAGGAGATTTGGGAGAAAGAGGGAGCAAGCAGGAGCCTGTGGTAGGGGTAGGAGATGGGACTGGGTGAGCCCCCTCCAGGAGCACATGAACCAACTTTGGGGGCTTAGGATGGTGAGTGGGAGTGAGGCAGGGAGAGGGGCTGGGAACCCCTAGTTTCTGAGAAGCAGCAAAGAGAGGGTGATGAGATAGGGGCGGGGGAGGGGCAGTGCTGGACTAGGGGCGAACCCCTCCTATGAGACTTGCTTATGGGGGGGGGGCGGAAATGGAGGTCTCCTTGGTGATTTTAGTCCAAAGGAAACAGACTAGAGCCTATGATGTTCAGGGGACCCATGGCATCAGGTGCACTGTGAGATATAACAGGGGCAGGTGGGTGTGTGGAGTGGGGAGAGGGCGGAAGTAGAGGGCGAGCATGAGACTAATGTCGAGGTCAGTGTCACTGGAGTGTGTGTGTGTGTGTGTGTGTGTGTGTGTGTGTGTGTGTGTGTGTGTGTTGGGGCCTGGGATGCAGCCCAAGCTGAGACATATTCTGGGCGACAGTGAGACCCCTGAATTCTGGGGGTGAATGGGGGTGAGTCTGCAGACTGGAGTGAGAGCTAGTGGGGGGGAAGAGGGAGAAAGGGGGAGAGGAAGGGGGAGAGAGGGAGGAGACACTGGTTGAGGGAAAAGGAGGCTGCTGAGGCGAGACGAGGGTGGAGTTCTGGGAATAAAGGCAGGCGGGAGTTGAAGGAGGTTGAAGAGGCTGATTTGGGAGAAGGTCCTTGGCAGCCTGGGCAGGAGCTGCAGGGCCAGGTGAGGTGGGAGCCGGGCGTGTGGGGAGGAGCTGGTGGGGCTGGGGCAGACTCTGGGAGGCCAGGCAGGGAGGGCAGGGCAGGGCTGGGTGATAAGGAGGGACAGCTCTGTGGGTGTTTGTGCTTTCGCTGTTTAGACCCCAAGATCCAGCCTCGGTTGGTGTGCAGGGTAGATGGGTGTGGGCAGCCTCCCCGGTGCTGACAGCAGCTGCCCAGTGCTGTTGGGGCTCCTGGGCCCAGCTCACGCCCTTCTCCGTGGCCAACTGCAGTAGCTGGGATTCCCCGTTGCACTTTTCCTGTGGCACTGAGGCGGTGTGGCTCTGGAGAGTGGGCTCCGGAGAGACGTCCCTCACCACACTGCTGCAGGGAGCGGTAAGTCATGCGGAATGGCCTGGTACCATTCCACGCTCTGTCTTTTGCACCTAGTTTCAGGAAGGACTTTCTTTTTCAAACAGAAAACTCACAATAGGGCAGTATGTTTCCACAGTAGGGAAAAGAAACAGTCTAGAGAGCCGTTTCTCATGGACCCCAAGATATTCCAATGGGGGCTACTGGTGAAATTCATGTAAAGAATTTCAGAGGGGCCAGAGCACTGGATTAGGGGACCAACAAGTAGGACAAGGGGAGGGGGTACTGTCTGGTCATAGGAAGTAAACAAGGGCAGGAAGTGGCCCCAGTTAGAAAAAGGTTGAGAAATATTGGCCTAAAGTCGGCCTTTATTTATTTGAGGTATAAAATATTTTAACTAACGGTCAAGTTATTGCAATAAAAAGAAACTTTGCATTAAAGTCCCTAATCCGCCACTCAGTGCCTCTTTTGCAAACCACAGCACCCAAAAGGAGAGAGAGAACAAAAGGGAATGCCCTGCCACAGAGGCAGGGGGGATGGGGGGGATGGGGGGTGGGAGGGATACTGTGATCCATGGTGATGGAAAATGGGCACTGGTGGAGGGATGGGTACTTGATCATTGTATAACTGAAACCGAAGCACAAAAATTTGTAAGTCTACAACTGTACCTCATGGTGTTTCACTAATAAAAATAAAAATTTAAAAAAAGTCCCTAATACCAAATGCCTGGGTTTGATAAATATTGTTCAGATAAACGACGAATAATGTTTTAGTCGGTTTGCCTGAACTTTCTGATAAACAGAGCAGTGTTCTGGTGTAAGTATATCCTCATGCTATCCTGGGACATATTGTACTGAAACATGATGGGTTGCGTTTCTGAAATTCAGGTTTAGCTGTCTGGACTTCTTGTATTTAACCAGGTTTAGTGCTGGGAACTACTTTTTCTAGCCTCTTAGATGCTAAAGAGCACTGTTTGTATTTGACGGGGCTTCTGTAATGCCCAGTGCTGTACAGGACTCGAGTGAGCACTTGTCTCATGGTGGGGTCTGTGAAGGAAATGGAAGAACCCCTGAGTGGTGACAGGCAGGGCCGCAGGGAGCTCAAAGGGTGACAATTTTTTTTGAGCCACACCCAGTGGTGCTCAGGGCTTACTCCTAGCTCTGCGCTCAGGGATCACTCCTGGAGGGGCTTGGGAGGCCTTATGGGGTGCTAGGGAGGGAAGCCAGGTGCAAAGAAAGCACCTTCCCTACTGTGCCATCTCCTCGTTCCCAAATGGGGACTGCATTTTACAAGCCACTGCTTGCTCCCAGGCTGCAGGGGCTGAGGAGAAGGGGCTGGAGGGTCTGGTGGGATAAGAGTCGGGGTCTAGTAGTCAAGAGGGGGCGACTCTCTGTCTTCCTCCTTCCCGTGCTTCCATTTCTCACTCGTTGCTTCCGTTGTGCCAATCTAACCCGAAATCAGTTGTCATGAAAGCCTAAAAAAAGTAGTGTGCAGGGCTCAGCCCCAGTGGGAAAGGACGGTGGGTACAGATGGGGACGATCCATTGAGGCATTAAGATTAGGTGAGAGGGGAGCGGTAGGTTTCAGTCAGTTCTTTGACAGCAAAAATACCTTGAGATGGGGCGGGGCGTGGGGTGGATTTTGGGTTGGGGGGCACACCTGGAAGTGTGCATGGGCTATTCTCACTCCTCAGTGCCCCCATCAGAGCCTGGGCGGAATCATTGGTAGTGCCAGGATGAAACCAAGGTTGCCAACAGGCAAGGCAAGTGCCTCAGTCCTTGTTCAGTGTCCACCCTCCCAGATGGTGTAGGAGGCTGCTCTGCGCTGCCCGATGGCTGGCAGAGGGAGTATGTTTCTGATGAATGGGCAGGTGCGTGGCACGAAGGCTCCGCGTGCTGGTCACTGGGAAGGGCACAGATGCAGGTCAGCACTGGCCCGGGCCACTCCTCATTCACAGCCACGCAGGCCACAGAGACCTGTTACCCAAGGTGGTTTAGAATAAAGGCAACAAGGTGTAGGGAAGGAATGTGACTGATTTGGAAGAGGTTTGGGGGCCACTCCCAGCAGTGCTCGGGGCTTACTTCTGGCTCTGCGCTCAGGAATCACTCCTAGGAGGTTCAGGGGAGCTTACAGGGTGCCAGGGATTCAAACAAGTTTGGCTGAGGCAAGTGCCGTAGCTTCTGTAGTACCTCTCTGAGCCTGATGTCTGGAGCGGCTCATGGAACTCTGGGAACCGTTTTGCTAACGATGCTGGGTTATTGCAAAGGGTCTAACCAGAACGGCCAAGTGGGGAAGCGGTGGAGCCTGCATTCTTGGGGGGGACCCTCTTGCTCTGTGCCATGGCTCACCAACCCGGTCTCTCCACACCTCCTCCTTGAGGGATCTGATGGGAGCTCGGCACACAGGTGTGATGAAGTCACTGACCCTAGGTGAGTCAACTCAGTTTCCAGCCCTTCTCCTCTCGTAGGATCGGAGAGTAGATGGGGAGGCTGAAAGTTCATGCCTCTGGTCACACTCACTGGCTGTCAGCCTGTCCATAGATGCAGTCCAGTAAGTCACTGCATTGAAAGAAAGGCACTTCCAGCACTCTCACCAGAGGACATTTCAAGGGATTTTGCAATCCTATGCCAGAAGTTGGAGGAAAATCAAATACATATTTAACACTGTAGCACTGTTCTCCCGTTGTTCATTAGTTTGCTCGAGCAAGCACCAGTAATGTCTCACAACAAATTGTGAGACTTGTTGTCACTGTTTTTGGCATATTGAATACGCCATGGGGAGCTTGCCAGGCTTTGCTGTGCGGGCAAGATACTCTCAGTAGTTTTCCGGGCTTTCTGAGAGGGGCAGAGGAATAGAACTCAAGTCGGCCGCATGCAAGGCAAATGCCTTACCCGCTGTGCTATCGCTCCAGCCCAAATACATATATATATTCCAAATAAATACATGTTTAGTATTATTATACTGAATAAAATATTCCCTAAAGGACAAAATACTGTTAAAACTTTTAATTTATAGCACAGCGGTAGGGCGTCTGCCTTGCACGCAGCCAACATGGCCGACCCGAGTTCGATTCCTCCGTCCCTCTCGGAGAGCCCGGCAAGCTACCGAGAGTATCTCGCCCGCACGGCAGAGCCTGGCAAGCTCCCCGTGACGTATTCGATATGCCAGACACAGTAACAACAAAGTCTCCAATGGAGACGTTACTGGGCCCGCTTGAGCAAATCGATGATCAACGGGAGGGCCTTTACTTTTTACTTACTTTACTTGTCACCTTCTCGGTGACCCTGAGCAGGAGTCTGGGACCACTCAGTGATTTTCAGCCTGTGGTGCCAGGCCTGATGGTTAGTTGCTTAGGCCTAGATGTGTGATGCTTCTTATGGTGCTGGATGGGGGAAAGGCATATGGTACCATGGATTGATCTGGGGGCCTTGAGTTACCATCCTGAATTATCTCCATGGCCCCTTGCTAAAATTGTTGACAGCATTATTTGATTAGGAAGGCTAGTAATAGAAGACTAGTACCGGGTTGGGGACATGGGGTGAGATTGAACTGGTACAGTTGGGTTGAAGGATGTAGGAGGCAGACAAGACTTTGTGACCACAACATCGATTTTGTGAATTTAAAATCTAAGGGGTATCACTGTATCACTGTCATCCCGTTGTTCATCTGTTTACTCGAGCGGGTGCCAGTAATGTTTCCATTCATCCCAGCCCTGAGATTTTAGTTTGCTCATCTTTCCCAATGATTGGAGGCACTTTCAGGGTCAGGAAAATGAGACTTGTTATTGTTACTGTTTTTGGCATATCGAATACACCACTGGTAGCTTGCCAGGCTATGCTGTGTGGGCGGAATACTCTCGGTAGCTTGCTGGGCTCTCCGAGATGTATCTATATCTATATCTATATCTATATCTATATCTATATCTATATCTATATCTATATCATCTATATATTTCCCTCTATGATTTGTTGCCTACTACAAATCTACTACAAAAATCTAAGAGTTATAGTAGTTAATTTCAGTGATGACCAAGATCAGGAGAGTAAATGTGTTCTGTAGGTGAGTGACTGGTCTCTGTTGATGAGGTCTAGGTTCTGGAAGGCCCAGACACTGTGTGTGTTGTGGGACGGGGGTGGTGGTGACATCAGTGATACTGAAAATGTTGACCAGTGACCATAGGGCCCGAGTAGCACCAGTGGCACCACTTCCTCTGACCCTTGCACTGAACCACAGGCTTGCTTGGCTGGGACTCCCTGGGCTGGGCTTCTAGGCCCACTGAGCATTTAGAAGTCCCCAAAACAAAAAGAAAGACTTCGAATAAAGTAGGTGATCCACTCCATTACCTCCTCATCAGAGATGTAGTGGTGAATACAATCCAAGGGGTAAAGGAGTCAAACACAAGAATAAACAAAGTGAACTACATAGAGTAGAAAATTCTATGCAGCACGGAATATTACCACAAAAATGAAAAGGTAATCTAGCAGATGAAATAAGATATTTGCACATCCTACATCTGACAAGGTCTGCTGCCCAGAATATACAAAAAATTCACACAACTAATAAGTAAGCAAATATCCCAATCAAAAAATAGACAAAGTCCTTTATTCTCCAAGGAAAACTTACAGATGACCCATAGACACATAAAAAAGCTTTCAATATCACTTACTATTAGGGAATGGAGGGGCAAAAACAACGAGATATCACATCACATTAGCCCATGTTTTAAAAATTGGAGACAGGCCAGAGAGATGGGACAACGGGTAGGCCAATTGCCTTGCACACCACAGCAGTGGTGCGATCTCTGTGGAAATGACAAGGAGATTCCTTAAAGAAATAAAAATATTCTGGGGCTGGGGTATAGCTCCAGTAGCAGAACCTTTAGTTACCTTATGCAAAGCCTGGGTTTGACCCCTGGCACTGCATGGCCCCTGAGCACAGCTGGACATTGCCCTGGTAGGCTGCGCTGGACTGAGTCCCCAGCAGTCAGGTTCACTGCAGTGTGTTGAGTGTCTGCCACCCCCCCCCCCCCCGAGCCCTCCCCCATCCTCCTGAGCATCATTAAGGGTGGCTACTAAGAAGATAAATAAAAATGGAAATCCCATGTGACCCAGCCATTAAGATCTTAGTAATTTTAGTCCAAGGATATGAAAACACTCATTTGAAAGGATTTTTATACCTCCGAGTTCATAGCAACATTACCCACTAGAACCAAAATGTAGAGTTGACCTAAATGTCCATCTAGAGATGACTGGATAAAGAAGCTGTGGTGGAACTAGTCAATGGAATACTGCACAGCCATTTAAAAAGATGAATTTGTGCTTTGAGGAACAAAATGGGTGCACCTTTAGGACTCAAGATTATTGTATTCAGCAAAGTAAGGAGGTGAAAAACAGTTGCCAGATGGTCTCACTCATAGAAAGATTATGAAAAAATGAAGTGACAAAACCCCACAACAGCTAAAGTTCTGGACTTGGTAGGAAATTATGGCAGTCACCAGAGGGACAGGTGATGTGTGTGAGAGGAGTAAGTAGGTAGACGGTAGACGGCACTGGGACAAGTTATGTGTGTGGGGGGGAGGGGGGAGAGGGGGAGGAAGTGACAATCATGTGCATATCTAGCTGTGAAACTGGAGTTCTATAATAATGGAAACCAATGATGAATCACTGAGGAAAATCTTTAGGAGGTATTTTTAGGGTGAGGGGGGAATTCCCATGCCTCCTGCTAAGGTGGTCAGAGTGGGAATCAAACCCAAGTCTCTTGCATGCAAAGCCTATGAGCAGATGGCTTTGGGCCATCTTCCTGGCTCCCAGAAAGAGCTTGCAAAAAAGACAAACCAACTGAGGCACCAATTATACAAAGAGGGAAGCACAAAGCAAAGTCACCAACTAATGATTGTCTCTGTCCAACTGACAGAGGACTCATGTCTCATATGTATTATATATATGTATATATGTATATGTATATAATATATATGTATACACATAGCACAGCGGTAGAGTGTTTGGCTTGCGCGCAGCCAACCCGGCCGAGCTGGGTTCAATTCCTCCGCCCCTCTCGGAGAGCCTGGCAAGCTACCGAGAATATTCAATATGCCAAACACAGTAACAAGAAGTACACACATTTATACATATGCACACATACATATATATACACACACACCTATATACACATACAAACGTCTATAGCATGAGAAAGGCTGCTCTATAAAGTTGTTTGGGTCATTTGGATTCCCATGGGGTGGAAGCACATGGCTAGCTGGAGTAAGCTATCAGAGGTCAGAGGCTAGAGTTAAATAGACCTGGTTTAACTAGCTCTGATGTTTCCTGTCTGAGGGACTTGGAACAAACGAATCTCCTGTAAGTCATTTCTGAATCTCTAAACGGGGATGCTGATGGTAGCCTTTACAACATGGAGCTATTTTAAGGATGAAAGAGGAGAGGGTCGTACATAAAAAATGCTTGGCAAAGGGCCCAGTAAGCTCTGATTACAATGTCATGAACACATTCATCTGCCCAGAACATCCCATTCTTGAAGTGCTGGCTCCCTCTCCTAGGCTCTCATCTGAACACTTAACCCTCAGCACTCCTGGTGTAAAAACTGTTATTCAGTCTTCTAATTGGGATGGTGACGTTTTTTTCTCCTAGACAACTCTTCCAGCCACCAAGTTGGGGACCACAGTGCAGGAAAGTCAACGGTGCGAACTGTAGCTGGCACACCCATGTCTCTGCCGGAAGCAGCTCCCCAAGCTGGAGCGCCCCCGAAGCCTCACAGCCTTGGCCACTTGCCCAAGTCCCCACAAGCCCCTGCAACAGCGGCATCGCAGAAGTGCTTTCTGAAGATCACTGGCATGACCTGTGCTTCCTGTGTGTCTAACATAGAGAGGAACCTGCAGAAGGAAGTTGGTAAGCAGTGACCTCTGGGTTTAGTGGACACATAGCACGTAGACCAGAGGTTCCCAGATGTCTTTGTCCCAACACACTCCTTTTCAGAAAAAAAGGCTCTCAGCATTCCACTGGAAATCTACTTTCTTTAAGTGAACAAACAAAAAAAAGCACCCCCTATCGTTCCAGTGTTTTCCCAGGGAGTATTCTCACCAGTTTGGGAAACACTGGTGTAGACCATTGGTCTGCAATTGTTGGTCCATGGACTAGTGTCAATTCACAGGCGCAGAAAGATTGAAAATCAGGGCTGTACCACAGTGGTCAGAACTGTGTGCAGGTGTGCAGGACAAGTGTTGGCCCACAGGTACAGGAGGGTTGGACCATGGTGTAGACTGTGGAGACACTGTAGTCACAGGACGGAGCACTGTGTGCACCCTCCTGTCACTGTTGAGTGTACTTGTCAGTAAATAAGATAACCCCATGCCAGCACGTGAGAGGATAATATAGTTGTTTGTCTGATGTTCTCGGACAATTCTATTCTGTTGCATGAGAAGTGTTGTTCATTTGAGATGTCTTTCCAAGTTAGAAATTCCATGTAAGGATCCTGGCACATTCCATATTATGGACTTTTATATTCCACACACGGGAGAGATCATTCTGTCAGTATTGTCTCTTAAGCACTAAAGTGCAGCAAAACAATCCTGCCTTGAGACACTGCAACATTCAGGGAACATGCCTACCATGCTCTGCACCAAGGTTTGATTCCCAGCATCATCTGGTCCCCTAGGGATCCCCAGATGCAGCCCTAGAAGTCCCTGACACTGTCAGGTGTGGCTCTGAAGGTCCCCAGTACCACTGAGGTGGCCCTGGTATCCCTTTGCACTGAACTGATGGCCCAGTTGGCTGAGAATGGTCGACAGGGCCCCAGACCTCCTGACCATGGCTCACTCTTATATGTGGAGATATGTTCACCATGATCCAGCTGTGCACTGGAGTCCCTCTGTTTTCTTACCCTTCTGGTTCAGATGTCTTTCTGCTCAGACTCCCTGGCCCCAAATACCCACACTACATTAGGATCATAAGTTTCTCCAGCTTCGAGGCCACTATACTTTTAGCTTCCTGAAGCTCTCGAACAACTGTTCTCAGAGGGGGGAGTTGTGGAGGTTTCCTGGTCATCTGTGGGCTCTGGAACCCGGAATCTCACCATGTCTCTGTTCTATTCCTGATCCAATTCCTGTTGGGTTCCCTTATGGCATCCTTCCTAAAGCACGTCATCTTTGATCTGAATGAGTTTCCCCTTCCCTTAGACAAATACAACAAAGTTAGCAATGTGATTTATTTGTGGGATTTATCACTCCTGAATATCATCAGAAATTAAAGAGGAAGGAAAACGACTTTGGGAACTTTTCCTCCCCTCTTCGCATGAAAACATCTGGAGATAAAAGCACTTCATCACCTGGAGTACCTGGAAGTGCAGACTTCCTGCCTTGCTTTGAGATATGCGCCTCGTAGTGGGTTCTCAACCTCAAAGTGAACCACGGACCTGGGCATGGCCTGGGGGTTGGGTGCACTACAGAAACCCAGGACGCCCTTGAATCAGTGGCTACTGTCTAACAGGTTGTGAGCCAAGTGGCTCTTAGGCCCTTGCCAGGTGATCAGCCCTGTGCTAGAACAGTGGTTCTTCCCCTTGGCTGGGCATCAGAATCACCCCGGGAGCTTTAGAAACAGATGCCTGGCACGTGGACTGAGTGACTGATGTCACTGGTTTGGTTAATTGGGCTTGTCAGAGTCTCCTGCAGTGCAGCCAGCTCCGAGAACCACTTCACAAGGCTTCAGGGTAGGTTCTTTTGAACATGGCATCCCAAGGGCCTTGCCCAGAGAGTCATAGCTGTGACCTGCTGCTTGCAGGGATTCTTTCTGTGCTGGTGGCCTTGATGGCTGGGAAGGCAGAAGTGAAGTATAACCCGGAAGTCATCCAGCCCCTGGAAATCGCTCAACTCATCCAGGACTTGGGCTATGAGGCATCAGTCATGGAAGACTACACAGGCTCGGATGGAGACCTTGAGCTCATCGTGAGTATGGGGACCTACGTGGGGGCTGAGGCAGGGTCACACAGGGCTCAGGCGGTCTGTGGCTGAGGCAGGTCACAAAGGCCTCCGGGTGATCTGTGGCTGTGCTGTACCTCAGCCTCTGCTGCGACTGGCCATCTCACACATGGCCGCTGTTGAGGGTTTTGTTTGTTTGCTTCTCTCTGAAAGCAACTTGTGTTATGTAGGATTGTCAGTTATGCAAGGAAGTCTCGGGAGTGGCTCCTGCTAGGTGGGGTTCGGGTGTTGGGGCCAGAGGGGTAGAGGCAAGTCGAGAGGAGGTTGGAAGGAGCCCAGGGAAAAATAGCAGCTGTCCTGAGGAGGGGATTGAGGGAACTGATAGCACAGCGATAGGGAGTTTGCCTTGTGCGTGGCCGGCCCGGCTGAGCCGGGTTCGATTCCTCCGCCCCTCTCGGAGAGCCTGGCAAGCTACCGAGAGTATCTCACCTGCATGGCAAAGCCTGGCAAGTTCCCTGTGATATATTTGATATGCCAAATACAGTAACAACAAGTCTCACAATGGAGACGTTACTGGGCCCACTCAAGCAAATCGATGAACAATGGGAGGACAGTGCTCAGAACAGTGCTCAGAATGGCTTGAAGGAACATATCCCATCAAACCAGAGGAAAATAAGTGTCAAGGGTGCCTGACGGTCAGAGTGGGGGAGAGGGACAGCCAGTGCATTCGGGGATAGAAGGGTCTTGTGGGTAGTTGTTGGGATCTTGGGAAGGAGACTGGTGAGCAGAGTGTTCCCAGGTGCTCAGTCTCCGCCGCAGGCCAGGAGCATGGTGGTCAGGTGTGGGGAGAGCATTGTTCCTGCCTGTCCGCTGTTGCCAGCTACACATGTCAACAGATCACTGGAGACAGCTAGTATTTCAAATGCTGTGTCCACAAGCACTTTTGCACGAAGCTGTTTTTGTGCAAATAAAAGGAAACTTAAAGAGGCCCACAAGTAATTGAGCCTTTCTCCTTTCCTGAGGCAATGGAGCCTCTTTGTTTGGGCACCCTCATTAGCGCTAGGTAAATGTTTGAGGGAAGGTTCTGAGGACACCAATGGCACTTTAAGCTCTGATAAATGGTGGTGTTTGTGCAGCAAATTCTTTGTTCTAGACCAACTTCCGTATGGGTTGAGGAGCAAAGTGTAAAAGTTTTGTATTTCCACTGGAAAGCAGCCCACTTTAGGGGCAGGGCCCCTTGAGGTTGGGTTAGGGGTGGGGGCTGGGGGAGGGGTGGTGATACCCGACCAGCCGACCTCTGCTGGGTGGTACATAAGAACTGTGACTATTTTATTTTTTTAATTTTTATTAGTGAAACACCACTTGTAAGTTGTAGACTTACAAGTTTTTGTGCTTGGGTTTCAATTATACAATAATTGAGTACCCATCCCTCCACCAGTGCCCATTCCCCACCTCCAATGCTCCCAGCATCCCTCCCACCCTCCACCCCGCCCCGCCATCCCACCCCACCCCTGTGGCAGGGCATTCCCTTTTGTTCTCTCTCTCCTTTTGGGTGCTGTGGTTTGCAAAAGAGGCATTGAGTGGCAATCATGTTCCGTCTATTGTCCACTTTCAGCATGCAGCTCTCATCCTGGGAGGATCCTCCCAACATCCTTTCCTTGGTGCTCCCATCTCTATCTGAATTGCCTACCACTCCTGAGAATATATCCCAGAGAGGCAAAAAAGTACAGTCAAAATGACATCTGCATTTCTATGTTCATTGCTGCACTATTCACAATAGCCAAAATCTGGAAAAAAAAAAAAACCCGAGTACCCAAGAACAGATGACTGGTTAAAGAAACTTTGGTACATCTACACAATGGAGTACTATGCAGAACTGTGACATTTTAAATTTTTTTATTAAAGGTGTCCTTTTGAGTGGGGACACTCAGGGGACTGGTGCCTTGTTGGATCGGATCTGGGGCTCCTGCATACATGCAGAACATGTGTGCTGGCCCTAAAGCCATCTCCGAGGCTCACATGTGTCCTTTCCTTTTGAAAGCTAAGTAGCACCAATCATTGTTCTTGTGTGTTCAGACACTTTAGGTAGGCCTTGTCTGTCTGCATTAAGTACTCTGCACGCTGATGTTCAGAAGAGTGGGTTATCTGGTCTACCAGATAACCGTTACAGGGACAGTGTGCCTGGGTCACTTCCAACTCCCTTTCTCACAGCCAGATGTGTCTCATGATGTGACAGGGTGGAGCGACTTTCACTGGATGGACTTGAACTCTGGTCCTGTTGTTGCACGGAAGTTTCTGTCTTTTTGTCTGTTTTCAGGTCTACATGTACTCTTTTTTAAAAATTTTTATTAGTGAGACACCATGAGATATAGTTGTAGACTTACAAATTTTTGTGCTTGGGTTTCAATTATACAATGATCAAATACCCATCCCTCCACCAGTGCCCATTTCCCACCACCACGGATCCCAGTATCCCTCCCACCCCCCATCCCTCCCACCCCACTCTGCCTCTGTGGCAGGGCATTCCCTTTTGTTCTCTCTCTTCTTTTGGGTGCTGTGGTTTGCAAAAGAGGCAATGAGTGGCAATCATGTTTGGTTTATAGTCTACTTTCAGCATGCTTCTCCCATCCTGGGAGGATCCTCCCAACACCATTTATTTGGTGTTCCCTTCTCTATCTGAGCTCCCTTCTCCCCTAGCATGTGTGGCTGGCCTCCAAGCAATGGAATGAACCTCCTGGTACTTATCTCGTCTCTTCTTGGGTGTTAGTCTCCTATTTTGTTACTTTATGTTCCCCAGATGAATGCAATCTTTCTATGTCTGTCCCTCTCTTTCTGACTCATTTCACTTAACATGATACTTTCCATTTACATGTACTCTTACCTCTGTACTCAGGGATTACTCCTGCTGGGTCTCAGGGGAAACATACATGTTGCCAGGAAATGAACCAGGGTCAGCCACATGCAGGTGCCTTAAGCCCTGTGCTCTCTCTGACCTTTGCAGAAATGCTTCTTTACATGGTTGGTTCTAAATACCCCCAGCAGTAATTATGACCTCTTAGAGAGAGGCAGGCAGGTAGATTTGGAGGTCACTGCAGATTCTCAGACCAAAACTGTCTGTAGCACTGTTTGAGCAGGCCAGTTCCTGGGGCAGGGGTTGGCATTTTGAGTGGTGATCAATGTTTTTTATTATTATTAACATGAGCATAAAAGTAAAACAAAAGCTTAGAGGCACTGTGGAAATATTTCTGGGGCTTTCTACAGTTCTGCCTGCATAGCCACCAGTTGATAGGTAAGCCCCACATCTGTGTGATGGTCCTCCCCACTTCACCCTTTCCCTTGAGACCCCACTTTGGTTTTTTTTCCTTTTTTTCTTTTTGGGTCACACCCGGCGATGCTCAGGGGTTACTCCTGGCACATGCACTCAGGAATTATTCCTGGCGGTGCTTGGGGGACCATATAGGATGCTGGGAATCGAACCTGGGTCAGCCATGTTGAGTGCAAGGCAAATGCACTACCCACTGTGCTATCGCTCCAGCCCTGAAACCCCACTTTGGTGACTGCATTCTGAGGATAGATGAGCTCCCCTCTCCTTCCTCCCTCATTCCCGGCGGGGACTCTCCCATTTTTTCTGATACTTGATTCTGGACTAGCCAGTAGATTCCAGAATGCAGCTGTGACTCTGGCATTCTGATGCCAACAGTCGCTCAGTGATTCTCCCAGTTGACTCTTGGCCCCCTGGGCTGACAGCTCAGTGTGAAGAGGCAGTGGAGGAGGAGGTTTAGGATTACCCAGGTCATCCCAGAAGTGGTCTGGGCTTCCAGGAGTGCACCCAGCCATGCTCTGGGGACCATGTTGTTTAGGGGCTGGAACCAGAGTTGGCCACATGCAAGGCAAACACCTTAACCCCTGTCATCTCTCTTGGATGCAAAGACACATTGAAGCTGAATGTTCTAGTCATGTGGATCTAACTAGTATATCAGGTTTCCATCCTCTCCCTTTTCCTTGGGAGTCCTGTACCCATCTAAGCCTGACTGTCTCTCCCGAGCCCCTCAGGCTCTGCTGCCTTTTGTCTTTTCCCAGGCTCCCCGCTTCAGTGACTGCCTTAGTTCAACCCGTCAACACCTTCCCCCGCTCTGTGACAGTCTCACATGCCATCTCCTCCACTGTCCATGTTCCAAATCCTTTTCCCCTTTGGATCAGGAGACATGAACATTTCTGCTTCTCAAGCGGGCAGAAGCCTGATGGACAGGGAGAACTTGCTGCAGCTCCAGACCAGCTGCCCGATGGCCCTGGGAATACAGTGCACAAAGAGTGTGGCCTCCTTCCCCGCATGAGGTAGAGAAGTTGCTTGCATTCTTACCAAGTGCCAGTGCAGAGTGGCTTGCAGCAACTCACCACCAGAGCAGGAAGTCCAGCCTTCATCCTTTGCCCTCTGCTTAGCAGTTGGCTGCATGTTTTGCATCTGAGTTGGGGGGAGAACCACTGTTTATTTTTCTCAGAGCCACTGGGGGATTGTTTGGGGTGACCCCTGTACACACACAGAGGTTGTTCCCGGATCCTTGGCGATAGGGCTCGTTTTCACCCTTTGCTGTAGGTCACAGGGATGACCTGTGCTTCCTGTGTTCACAACATCGAGTCCAAGCTCACAAGGACAAAGGGCATCACGTACGCCTCCGTTGCTCTCGCCACCAGCAAAGCCCATGTCAAGTTTGATCCTGAAATAATTGGTCCACGCGATATTGTCAAAATTATCGAGGTGAGTCTTTTATGCAAAGTCTTTTATGCAAACTTTTAAGCAATATACATTGTAGAGAAAATGATTTAGCAAAGCAAAAGAGTGAAAAAGAAAGAAAGAAAGAAAGAAAGAAAGAAAGAAAGGTCACCCCAAATTCTTTGATTTCCTCCATCTGCCCTGTCTCCCCAGGAACGGTGTGAGTCATCTTAAATCAACTGTGGAGGTGAGATTATTAGATAATCTGAGGGAATTTGTTAATGAGAAAAGACATTATTTTAATTTCAGCAATTTATAAGGAAAAATTGGTATCACTAAGATACCTTATTTAGTACCTGGCATGAAATTACCTGTTTATGATTCTTAAAGTATTATTTATGTCTGTATCAAGTATCTGTAGATTAAAGGAGTGTTATGTTGTGAATAATTATTCTGCACTTTTCCAGTATAATTATTTGTAGCAGATTTAATGTTCTTAATTTTCTTTTCAACGTGTGTATAAGTGCACACACATGGTCTTGCAGCACTCTGACAAATGTTGCTAAACTCAGTTCAGCCACCAGTGTGTCCTTGTTCTAGGAATATTACCCAGGTCTGACCTTCTCTCTTGCATCTCCAGGGCGTCGTTTCATAATATAATCAGTAGGTATTAGTTGCATAAGATTTGTCATTAGTCTCTGAGAAACCCTTTCTCGCACCATAATAACTTGTATCATTTTTTGTAAATGTTCCCAACATGAGAGTTCTGGTGCCTCCTCCATATATTGTCCCAACTAGTAGGATATTTCCTGATGTCTTTCCTTTCCTATTTATGGTCACAAAAGGATTCAGATGATCTGATGAAGTTTGTGGTGGAGGCAGAGTCCTGTTCAGCAGGAGGATGCCTTGGGAGGTCAGGAGGGTAGTATGGAGATCAAAGATCGGAGCCCCATAACTTCTCCTGCCAATGCTGTGACTCTCCTTGACTAGATTCTTATTTTTTTATTTTTTTAAAATTTTTATTAGTGAGACATCATGAGGTACAGTTGTAGACTTACAAATTTTTGTGCTTGGGTTTTAATTATACAAATACCCATCTCTCCACCAGTGCCCATTTAGACTCAGAAAGAAAGGGATAGACATAGAAAGATTGCATTCATCTGGGGAACATAAAGTAACAAAATAGGAGACTAACACCCAAGAATGGCCGAGATTAGTACCAGTAATTTTACTCCATGGCTTGGAGGCCAACCACACATGCTAGGGGAAAAGGGAGCTCAGATAGAGAAGGGAACATCCTTTTTTTTTTTTTTTTTTTTTTCTACAAAGTCTCCAATGGAGACGTTACTGGGCCCGCTGGAGCAAATCGACGATCAACGGGAGGGCCTTTACCTTTACCTTATCGAGCAATTTATTATACTTATGCCTTCCACAATTTTGATTTTATTTTATTTTATTTTTTATTTTTTTTATTAGTGAAACACCATGAGGTACAGTTGTAGATTTACAATTTTTGTGCTTAGGTTTCAATTATACAATGATCAGATACCTATCCCTCCACCAGTGCCCATTTTCCACCACCATGGATAACGTCCCCCCCACCCCCATCCCCCCATCCCCCCCTGCCTCTGTGGCAGGGCAATCCCCTGTGTTCTCTCTCTCCTTGAGAAGGGAACATCCTTGACTAGATTCTTTATCTCTAGGGCCTGCAATTTCGTAACTCAAAAATTCTGAGATCGTATTGCACCAGCTTTGGAGTTTGTAAAGTTATTCCCCAATGCCTCCTGCCTTTGCTGACACAGGAGCAAAGATGCCTTTTCTCTGAGGTTTGCCTTAGGGTACAGACAGTCTTCAGGAACCAATGGCGCTAGGCCTCCGACTGGATTTGTAGGTGATTTGGGGAAAGAAGTGACAGGAGCAGCCCTCACGGCTTTCCCAGGTTCTTCGAGATGAAGGTCCTGATTTCTAAAGTGATGCGTGCTTTCTGCCAAAGCCTGTTCTAACCGGGCGCCTGCCTTGTCTCTTACCCCTCTCTTCCCGACTGCAAGGAGATCGGCTTTCGTGCTGCCCCAGCCCAGAGAAGCCCCGGTGCGCATCACTTGGACCACAAGATGGAAATAAAGCAGTAGGTAGAACAGAAAGATCAGCGGAAGCTCTAGGCCACGTGTCTCCCGCCCCCAGGACCTTCCCCACTTGCCTTCTCATTTTGCCCCACGGAGCGTCCTCACATTTGGATCAGTTGCCTTTACCCCCTAATACCAAGTCCCCAAAACAGAGGTCCCCTGATTATGTGGTTCTCTTCCACTTTTCAACTGGTGTGTGTGTGTGTATGTGTGTATGTGTGTGTATGTAGAGGGGACCACTGGCAGTGCTCAAGGCTTACTCCTGGCTCTGCGCTCAGGGATCACTACTGGCACTGCACTTAGGGAACCACATAGGGTCCCAGGGATGGAATTCCAGGTCAGCCACATGCAAGGCAAATGCCCTACCAGTTGTACTATCTCTCTGTCCCCTCTAGCCCTTTAATAAAAAACAAAAACTCAGGTGTCCTCCTGGATACCCTTAAATGAACAAACAGGAAGTGTCCCTCAGTTGCACCCAAAGCTCCTACTACCCATCTGGATGGTTCCAGGATTGTTCACTTTGGGAAACAGCTGAGAATCTGTGCTGCCAAGTAGAACATCCTTGAGGACAGCAGTGACCTGCAGTCCCACACCTGGTATGACCACCACAGTTATGGACGAAACACTTTCAGTGCAGCAAGTGTGACTGAGTGGCTGAATCTTAAATTTTTTTTTTAATTTTTATTAGTGCGACACCATGAGGTACAGTTGTAGACTTACAAATTTTGTGCTTGCGTTTCAATTATACAATGATCAAATACCCATCCCTCCACCAGTGCCCATCTTAAATTTTTAAAAAAATTTTTTTTCAGAAACTTTAAGCAGTAAACTATGTAGTCTCCTATTTTCTATGTTCATTGTTCACTGGTGGCTAACACACAGATTGCACGGCACTGAAATTGGGTGTGTTTTCATTGACAATACATTTAACACTATATTTAGGTTCTAGAACTAGGGTATGAGGACGGGAGTCGTGCCAAGTGAGAGTCTGGAGATCGGGGTTTGTTCATTGTGTCAGCTGTCACTTATTCATTCCCAGACTTAAGCTGCTGTTGTATGCAGGGCACCGAGCAAAATCTCCCTCTACTGAGGAAGGGCCTATTCTGTGGCTGGGAAAGAATGAGCGAGCATTGATTCAAGTGGGTCCTGGGAGTGCTTGGAAACTGAGACGCAGGGGATAAAGGGCCTCACAGAATGAATGGAAGTTGCCAGGCTGCAGGAGCGGGCGAAGGGCTCAGGTTTGTGTGGTTTGCTCTGATGGGCGGGTGTCCTCGCGCAGCAGGGAGTGGCCGGGAGAGCTGGTGTGGCAGTTTGGGCATCAGCCAGAGTGTGAGACTTAGATCTTGCACATATGGGCAGTTAAGTCCCCGGGGAGTTTCGACAGCCGCTTGGGTTGGAATTTCATGAATGTGGACATTGATGAGTTTGCAGCTGTCTTGGCCCCCTGTGTCCTCAAATTTCAAACTGGTTTGAGAGCTTTGCTTCTGGTTGGAGAGAAGTATAGTGCTAAGGTACTTATGTTTCTTGCATGCCCCTAACCTGGTTGGATCCCCGGCACCCTACAAGGTCCTCTGAGTCCCATTAGGAGTGACCTTGAACTCTGAACCAAACCCCTGAGCACTGCCAGGTGTGGTCCACAAGCAAATGAAAGCTTTACTTCCAAAATACCTTTGTTCTTCTCACTGACTTGGTCTTGACCTTTCAGTAATCTTAAATCCAAGTCTATTTGTACTAGTAAAATGTTGCTTTATTTTTTTTCTTTTTATCCTGTTGGTGGGGAGTCTGTGTAAGATCGCATATCCAGCCATAGAAGGAGGATATTAAACCTCTCTGGGACCAGGTTTTCAGCTCTTAGCTGGGAGGTAGAACATTAGCCATGCATGGACAGGCAGGGCTGGGTATGCATCTTTCTCAGATAGCGTTCGGTGAGGTTCCTCAGACAGCTGGAGTTTGAGCAAGAGCTCTGCTTTGATTCAGTGGCCACTGGTGGTCTGCCTCAGGCCAGTGACAAAGGTACTTCTTTTTTTAAAATTTTATTTATTCATTTTTTAAAAAATTTTATTAGTGAAACACCATGAGGTATAGTTGGAGACTTACAGATTTTTGTGCTTGGGTTTCAGTTATACAATGATCGAGTACCCATCCCTCCACTAGTGCCCATTCACCACTACCAATGATCCCAGTAGCCCTCCCATCCCCCACCCCCCCATCCCACCCTGCCTCTGTGGCAGGACATTCCCTTTTGTTCTCTCTCTCCTTTTGGGTGCTGTGGTTTGCAAAAGAGGCATTGAGTGACAATCATGTTCAGTCTATAGTCTATATGCATCTCTCATCCTGGGCGGATCCTCCCAACACTCTATTTGGTATTCCCTTCTCTATCTGAGCTGCCTTTCCCCTTAGCTGCCTTTCCCCCTAGTTGGCCTCCAAGTTATGGAGTGAACCTCCTGGTACTTATCTTGGCTATTCTTGGGTGTTAGTCTCCTATTTTGTTACTTTATGTTCCCCAGATGAATGCAATCTTTCTATGTCTCTCCCTCTCTTTCTGACTCATTTCGCTTAGCATGATACTTTCCATGTAGTAAAGGTACTTCTTAAACCAAGTCCAGAGGATGGAACTGGCCGGCACCCTGTCCGGCTATGTCTTACGTGCCACGTTGCTGCTTTGCTTCCCAGGTGGAGAAAGTCTTTCCTGTGCAGCCTGGTGTTTGGCATCCCCGTGATGGGCCTGATGATCTTCATGCTGATCCCCAGCCACAAGCCCCATGAGTCCATGGTTCTGGACCACAACATAGTTCCTGGACTGTCCATTCTAAATCTCATCTTCTTCATCTTGTGTACCTTTGTGCAGGTGCGTATCCAGAGGAGAGGGGCATGGCTCTGTGAGTCACGCCTGGGTGTGGTCAGTGACATGCAACCCTCCAGCTTGCTTGAAGGGGTGGTTGGTGTGTGCCTTTTCTGACCCACCCCAGCAGGAGGCTGCTTTTTCCCTTCTCTCTCTCTCTCTCCCTCTCTCTCTCTCTCTCTCTCTCTCTCTCTCTCTCTCTCTCTCTGTATCTGTGTGTGTGTGTGTGTGTGTGTGTGTGTGATGTGTGATATGGAAGCTGATTCTCTTGTATGCGAAGCCTGTGCTCTCTGTACTTTCTGAGCTTTTTCCTCCTTCTTCTCTTCCTCTTCCTTCTTCTTTTCCTCCTTCTCCTCCTCCTTTTTTTTTGTTTTTGTTTGTTTGGGGGCAATTCCTGACTCTGTGTTCAGTGATCACTCCTGATGGAACTCAGGGGACTGTATGTGGTGCCAGGATCCAAACCTGGATTGATCCCATACAAGGCCATTGCCTTCTCTTGTACTATTCCTTTGGCTCTTCCTCCCCTTCCACCTTCTGTCTGTGATCAGCAGAGCAGGGTGCTGCCCTCTAGTCCAGGGGGCTGGGGAGGACCTGGTCTCACAGAAGCTGCATAGCTGCACGTAATTGTAGCATTGATGAGTGGACTATCTAGTGGGCAGATAGTCCGCTCCATTGACCCTTGTTGTTAGAGACAGTAGCTGGAGCACCCCGGCTGTCAGGCTTTCTTTCACATATGGGCTCAAGTGGCAGAGAAGTGTAAGTATCCTAAGGAGAGGGCAATTTCAGACAGGCTTCAGCAGCTTCAAAATTAGGAACTAGTGATGTATCTCTTGTGGGCAGGCCCACCAGATATTTGGAAAGGTGGGGAGCGCTCCTAGTATTTAGAATACTAAATTAGAATGTTTCAGAAAGGGGCCAGAGAGATAGAATGGTGGATAGGGATTTTTTTTTAACGTGACTGAGTTGGGTTCAATCCCCGGCACCATATATGACCTCTTGAACCTCACTAGGAGTGATCTCTGAGCAGGAGTAAGCCCTGTGTACCACCAGGCATGGCCCCTAAACAAATATTCAAAATGTTTACGATTATCTAGGGTAATATGTGCAGGCTTAATTTTTTTTCCCTGTCTTTTCTTTTTCATCACAAATGGAGTGTACATTCACAGCGAACCATTTAAGCAGCACTGAGCATACAAGTTGAGGATCTTCTTGTCACTAATCACACTCTGTCTCCATACTGCTTTCATTCCCTGCGACTAGTTCCGCAGCAGGACTTGTTGGATATGTGTGTGCCTTTCCCCTGTTCCTTATCTGTGCATACAAAATACACATGGACTTTGCAGTAGTCTGTGTGTTTGTGTGTGTGTGTGCTCATGTAATATCTCTTGAGCTGAAATGGGGTCAGACTAGCTATCCTAATTTACTGCTGCCTTTGTCACTCACCATGTCTCTTGGGTGTCTTTCACTCCAGGGTTTCCTAGATCTACCATGTTCTCTGGAACTGTATATATTGACCACTGTGGGGTTTTTTTTGGAGGGGGAGGGTCACACCCAGCAATGCTCAGGGATTACTCCTGGTTTTGCACTCAGGAATCGCTCCTGGCAGTGCTCAGGGGACCATATGGGATGCTGGGAATCGAACCTGGGTCGGCTGCATGAAAGGCAAACACTACCCTACCCGCTGCGCTATCACTCCAGCCCTGACCACTGTGTTTTAAAAGAACCTTCTTTCATTTCACCAATTGTCCAGTTGCTGGGCACTGGAATTGTGCACTGTGGGTTTTGAAAGTCTCCCATGCCCTTGATCCTGCATTCCTATTCCCAGGAGTCCTCAGATTCTGGAGGCACTTTAGAAAATACCAGTGAAAGAGGACAAAAACAAGAGTGCATGAACCTGTCCTGTCGTATTTGCCAGCCCCGTGGGTGGGGTGGTGGTATCTGGCCCCCAGTTCTCCTTAAACACTGTGCCTTCTACCACCGGCCTCTCTGCTTCCTGTTTTGCAGTTCCTGGGTGGCTGGTACTTCTATGTTCAGGCCTACAAATCTCTGAAGCACAGGGCGGCCAACATGGACGTGCTCATCGTGCTGGCCACGAGCATTGCCTATCTCTACTCCCTGGTCATCCTGGTGGTGGCCATGGCTGAGAAGGCTGAGAGGAGCCCCGTGACCTTCTTCGACACGCCCCCCATGCTCTTTGTCTTCATCGCCCTGGGACGATGGCTGGAGCACGTGGCCAAGGTAAGGGCAGCTTTGGTGTGGGAAGGGGCTGCTCCTTCAGTGATGTTAGGTCCCCCCTCATCTGAACACTGCCCGGAGAATCCTGGCTCACACACCAGCCAGGGCCCTGGCGGTCAGCCTGGGGACACCAGCACACTGGCACTGGTCCGCAGACTGGAAGACTTAGAGAAAGGTGAAACCTAAGTGTAATCAGGTGCTCTGAATGCTAATCTCCAAATGGCTTGCTACTTCTGAAATCCCAGCTAATCTGGCTAATTAGTTAAGCCTTTGTTGGGTGCGTGATGCCATGGGAAGAAACGCGGGTTTCAGGTCAGAGTTGACATGGTTTCTTTAGCACTTAGCAAAACACAACGCTTCGAAGTCTAGAAATCTATTTTCCTGACTTAGGCTCCAGCCACTTTTACACTGGGCTCTGCATGTTTTAGAAAAGAACAGAACTGGGCTGGGGGCTGGGGCGGCAGGGGAATGGGGCTGCAGCTTAGAGCCCCATTTTGTAAACTGTGGCTCAAGTAACTGAATGGAGAGGTGTGGGTAATCTGGCAACGGTGAAAGCCTATCATGGCAGAAGCCATAAAATTAACCCCAGACCCATCGTGTGATTGGAATGTGCTCCTCGCAGCACTGGACCGTGTTGCAGTCTTGGGAGAAAAGGGGTTGCAGGTGGAAGGGCTGGGGCAGCCCTGGCGTAGGGTGCCTGCCTGACCTAGTGTCTGGTGCCTGCGATTCCTGGCACCGCAGGCAGTTTCTGGCTGCCTTGCAGGCATGTGTGTTTAAGTAGGGTTGCAAACTCTGGCGAGCACACACACCATGACAGCTGTGCGGGTGTCATGGCCAGGGAGTAAACCCACGGCAAGCCCATGTGTGGGCACCACAGCGACCCCTGGTGAGCATGCTACAGACTGCGGCCACCAGAACAGGTTCTGTGAGTCCCATAGCCCGCAGGGGAGCCCTCAGAAGTGCCGCAGCCCCCAGTCTCTGAAGAACATTAATAACAGCAAAGGGGAGGGTCGGGGAAGAGGGAATGGAAAAAGAAAGAAAGAAAACTCAGATCCTAACGAAATTCGGTTGAACCTGAAAGAAAATAGTCCCTGAATAGACGGATTGTTTTGTCCCTCTGAAATGTGGATTGATGAACTTGGTGGCATTTAGACTTTCTGTGTGGCGGTGTTGTGGCCATGCATGGCCGGTCAGTGAGCACCAACCCTCCCCCACCCCCACCTCACCTCAGGCGAGCTGCCCTCTGCAGGCTCCTGTCTAACACTCTGGTTCTCTCCTAGAGCAAAACCTCCGAGGCCCTTGCCAAACTCATGTCTCTTCAAGCCACAGAAGCCACAGTCGTGACCCTGGGTGAGGACAACTCCATCATCAGGTGAGGGATCTTCCTCAGAAGCTCTCGATCCGTTAGCATCTGCCTGTGAGGCGCAGCAAACAGCCACCGTGTCTGTGATGTCGCTCCAGGCCTCCCTGGGGCTGGCATAGACAGTGTCATCCCGCCCCTCAGTCCTGTTCGGCAAACACGGCGTTTAGTGCTGAAAGAGAAGCCGCTGCTCAGGGCGGTGCAGGTCTGTCCTGCGACACAGGGAAACTCAGATGAGTCTTTCAGGGTTTAGCTTCACACAGGATGTGGCCTCAGAGCTGTGCCTTCCCTTCAGACAGGCTGAGGAGCTGAGTTTCAGCCTGTCCAGGAATAAACACGTGTTTCGTGCTGACAGGTCATGAACAGTTATCATAGTTTTCACAGCATTGATTGAAAATTAAACATAGCTGTTACTGTCTGCCAGAAACGCTATCATCTTTATGTAGTTCATTGAACCAAAACAAAAAAAAAAACCTTTCTGAGCAAGGGACTATTTTCACTCTCATTTTGCACTGTAGCACTGTCCTCCCGTTGTTCATTGATTTGCTCGAGCGGGCCCAGTAACGTCTCCATTGTGAGACCTGTTGTTACTGTGTTTGGCATATTGAATACATCACGGGGAGCTTGCCAGGCTTTGCTGGGTGGGCGAGATACTCTTGGTAGCTTGCCGGGCTCTCCGAGAGGGGCGGAGGAATCGAACCTGGCTCAGCCAGGCCAGGTTCACTGTGCTATTGCTCCAGCCAGGAAAGCTCAGGTTCAGCAGCTGGCCCATAGGTAGGAAGCAGTGGGGCTAAGAAACAACCTGGAATGTTGGTCCCAGGATCTCTCTGCCTTTTTTTTTTTAAAGATATATATATATATATATATTTCCTTGAAACAAAGAGAATACTTATTTGTTCTTTTCTTTGTGACCATGTGGCTTATGTCTTGTATAGTAATGCTTCAGGCATGTAACATTAAATTATGTCACACCCTTCACTCTTTTAGCACTGTCTCTGGATTATTTCATTTCCTTTATAATTATTGAGGTCGTATATCATTTTCTTTGTTTGCAGTTGGGATTGAACCTGGGGCCTCATACGTGCGAGGCGAGTGCTTCCCTATGCCCCGCTGAGCCGCATCCTGGTCCTGCAGCAGCCTGAATGCTGTGTGCCTTAGGCATGCATTTCTCCTTCCCCGCTTCTCCCTGGGTGCCTTCCCCTCTGTCCCCTCCCACTGCCCTGTGAAGCTTGGGTCTGTTGTCAGAGTCTAAGTGTGCATCTTCCATGTTTTGAACTCCTACATATGCTGGAGCGTAGTTAATAATACAGACTTTTTCTTTGTATATGTTAAGGCTGGGCTGGAGCGATAGCACAGCAGTAGGGCGTTTGCCTTGCAAGCTGCTGGCCCGACTGACCCGGGGTTCGATCCCTCCGCCCCTTTTGGAGAGCCCGGCAAGCTACCGAGAGTATCTCACCTGCACAGCAAAGCCTGGCAAGCTACCCGTGATGTATTCGATGTTCCAAACACAGTAACAAGTCTCACAATGGAGATGTTACTGGGCCGGCTCTTGCATTTTCTTGGCCAGCCTCTTTTTTTTTTTCTTGGTAATAATAGTCCCTAGGCTGTGTTATTTATAGGCCTTCTTTATATTCTGGAACTCTCTGGTCTTTCACCACTTTCCTCTTTAGCCTGTGAGCGTCACTCCTCTCCTCCCCCCCCCCCCCCCCCCCGACACACACACACCTCCATCAATGTTGAATCCCGCTTGTCCTGAGGAGAGAAAGTCTGTGCTCATCACTGCATATTACACACCTGCTCTTTTCTTTCTTTTCTTTTTAGGAGCAATAGCACAGCGGGTAAAGCGTTTGCCTTACAAGCGGCCAACATGGCCGACCCGAGTTCGATTCCTCCGCCCCTCTCGGAGAGCCCGGCAAGCTATCGAGAGTATCTTGCCTGCACGGCAGAGCCTGGCAAGCTACCCGTGACATACTCGATATGCCAAACACAGTAACAACAAGTCTCATGATGGAGACGTTACTGGGCCCGCTCGAGCAAATCAAAGAACAACAGGAGGACCGTGACCAACCGTGACCAAAGTTTTTTTAATTGAATCATTGTGAGATGCAGTTACAAAGCTTTCATGGTTGGGTTTCAGTCATACAATGATTGTACACCCATCCCTCCACCAGCGTACATTTTCCACCACCAATGTCCCCAGTATCCCTTCCACCACCTCCATCCCCCCCACCCCACCCCACCCCACCCCCTGCCTCTATGGCAGCCACCTTCCCTCTTAATCTCTCTCTAATTTTGGGCATTAATGTTTGCAATACAGATACTGAGAGGCCATCATGGTTGGTTCTTAGTCTACTTTCAGCACACATCTCCCATCCGAACGATTCCACCAACCATCATTGACTTAGTGGTCCTTTCTCTATCCCAACTGCCTTTTCCCCCAGCACATGAGACAGGCTTCCAACCATGGAGCAATTTTTCCTGGCCCTTGTTTCTATTGTCCTTGGGTGTTAGCCTCATCTTATGTTATTTTCTATTCCACAAATGAGTGCAGTCATTCCTATGTCTGTCCCTCTCTTTCTGACTCATTTCACTCAGCATGATACTCCCCATGTCCATACACCTTATAAGCAAATTTCATGACTTCCTTGGTAGGGCGTTTGCCTTACAAGCGGCCAACATGGCCGACCCGAGTTCGATTCCTCCGCCCCTCTCAGAGAGCCCGGCAAGCTACCGAGAGTATCTCGCCCGCACGGCAGAGCCTGGCAAGCTACCCGTGATGTATTCGATATGCCAAAACACAGTAACAAGAAGTCTCATGATGGAGACGTTACTGGGCCCGCTCGAGCAAATCGATGAACAACGGGAGGACTGTGACCGTGACCTCTTTTCTAACAGCTGCATAGTATTCCATTGTGTAGGTGTACCAAAGTTTCTTTAACCAGTAGTCTGTTCTCGGGCACGCGAGTTCTTTCCAGATTCTGGCTATTCTAAACAGTGCTGCAATGAATATACAAGCTGCATGTGCTCCTGAGATCATTCTGTTCTTGTTATTTATCCCAGACCTCAGACCTCCCATTGGCACCCTCAGAAAAAGGCTGCCCCACCTGGGCCCGTGTCCATTGACCTACACCCTGGACACCTTTCCACCTCCCCATTTCTCCTCCTCCTTGTGCTGCAGATGTCCCATAGCCTCTCCTGTCCCCTGGGCCTGGTTGGTTGTCACTCCTCAGCACTCAGAGTCCGAGTGCTCAGCCACCTCCAGTTCCCTGGAACCTGAGCGTGGCAGGTGCTCAGACACCTGCAAGGGACTGGACGGGACAGCGGGAAGAACTAAGGAAATTGCCCATGTGTGCCTCGTGGAAAAGGCCAGTCCCGCTCTCTCCTGTCACTTCTATCACATGGTTTCCCTTTGTCTTTTCACTTTGTGGGAGAGCAGAGAAATGGGTGAGATGAAGTAAAGGCACATGGCAGAAACCCTTAAAGTTGTAGTAACAGTTTGGAGATTTGTTCTGTCCTCTAAGGTGTATTTCCACTAAGGCCATTCGGGGTGGTCTTAGCCTGGGTTGGGGGTGGGGAATACTGCTGAATTCACCACCTTGCTCACCCTGAATTGACTCTTTACTGTCAATTAAGCCAGTTAGAACGGGAAGGACACAGTGAAGTCAGATCAAAGGGACACTCAGAGTTGGATTAAGCCGAGATTAGAATTCCTCAACATTTCTTAGGGAGGCCCTCCTCCTGCACCCTGGGGTCTGCAATCAGGGGACCTTGGGAGGATGGTCCTGTTCTGGGAGAGGAGCTGCCAGGGCACCAGTGCTTCCTGCAGGCCTTGGATGAGGCTTCTGTAGCCAGTGGACACCTGTGGGGGGGAGGGGTGCTAGTTGTAGCCATCCATAATGTACTTCAAACAGCAGAGGATGTTCTCCAGGCATCTCCGTGCTAGTTTTTGGAGTCTGTCCCAGCACTGGGACTCCGTGCCCCCTTGAGAAGGCTCCCTCCCTTGCAGCCTCTCTGTTTGTCATGGCCTCGCTGAACTGGACAGCACCAAGCCTATATCCAGCTGCTGGGCTGGAGCCTCCTGAGAGGAAGCGGGTTTAGCTCATCACCCTCCCCTGGCACAGACCCCACCACAGGCCTGTGTACAGGGAGACACCCCATCTGTTGGTAAGCGTCACCCACATTCACTAGGCACTTCCTGTCTGCAAGGTGCCATGCTAAGCCCTTGGCACGACTCAACTGGGTCGGCCCCAGGAATAGGATGGCCACTGCAAAGATGGGGCTGCCGCCCCCTTGCCCTGCATCTGACCCAGGCCATATGTGTCCATGCCTGAGGCAGGACCATGGTCAGGGGATGTGTCTGCCCTACTCAATGGCGCCTGTGCCTGTAGCGGGCAGGGGAGCCAGTCACACTCAGATGGGCTCTTAGCGATTTCCCCTCACACCCGCCTGCTCCATCTGAGCACTGAAAGCTCATCTTTGATTCCTTGCTTGACGCATTCAGTGCATCAAGTGCATTCAGTGTACAGCTTTTCGACGACCTGAAAAGAACCCCCAGCTGTCCCTCCCCGCTGCCCCCACCATCCAGCTGACTTTGCTCTCCCTCCTTTTGCAACCCACACTCATGCCAGAACCGAGGTCATGGCTTGAGATATGGACCCGACTGTTTTACTTTCCTGCTCAGAGCCGACAGCCACAGCCACATCTGCGAGATCCCACAGGACGAGGACTCTGGGCTTCACTGACTCCTGTTTCTCGCGGGCACCTTCCAGCCTGCCTCGCTCTGGCCCTGCACCTTAGCCGCTTTCTGGAGTTTTCTTCCCCCTTATGTTGTCACCCAGGTCTCAGTTCAACTTCATAGTGCCTCAGGAAGTTCCCTGGGCTTGGCCTCCTGTTAGGTTTTCTTTTGTTTTGTTTGTTTGGGGGCCATGTCCAGCAATGCTCTGGGGTTACTCCTGGCTCTATACTTGGGGATCACTCCTGGCAATGCTCAAGAGACCATATGGATGCTAGGGGTTGAACCCAGGCCAGCCACATACAAGGCAAGCACCCTTCCCGCTGTACTATTTCTCCAGTCCCCTCCGGTTCTGGTTCCATTACTACCCTTATGAGTACCTGGCACTAGGTTTATTGTCGGCCTTCTCTGCAAATTTTTCTCCATGAGGACTGGGACTTTGCATTCCCATTTATAGCCATATCCCCAATACTTCAAAGGGGCACTTAGCAAAAAGCTGCCTGGTTGCTCTGGACTCAGTCCATGCTGAGCACCAAAGTCTCTGAGCAGGTGGCAGTTAGTCCGGACCCTAAGCTGGGAGACGGAGCATAAAGCAAAGTTTCTGAGGGGCTGGGGGTGACCCAAGTGACTTTTCTTGCAGGGAGGAACAAGTGCCTATGGAACTGGTGCAGCGGGGAGATGTCATCAAGGTTGTCCCAGGGGGCAAGTTCCCCGTGGATGGGAAAGTCCTAGAAGGCAATACCATGGCTGACGAGTCACTCATTACAGGTTAGGGGGCTTGGTTCTCCTTTCCTCTGGGCATCGGGTGGGGGTGTCCCAGCCACTGCCAGGTCCCCTGAGTGCCAGCCGGGATACCACGCAGGGTGGTTGATCTCTCATCTCTTCTAGGAGAAGCCATGCCTGTCACGAAGAAACCTGGCAGCACCGTGATTGCTGGGTCCATCAACGCCCATGGCTCCGTGCTCATTAATGCCACGCATGTGGGCAACGACACAACGTTGGCCCAGATAGTGAAACTGGTGGAAGAAGCTCAGATGTCAAAGGTAATAAAGAAATTCTTGCACTGTAGCACTCACTGTCCTCCCTTTGTTCATCGACTTGCTCGAGCGGGCACCAGTAACATCTCCATTGTGAGACTTGTTGTTACTGTGTTTTTTGGCATATCAAATATGCCATGGGGAGCTTGCCAGGCTCTGCTGTGTGGACAGGATACTCTCAGTAGCTTGCTGAGCTCTCCAGGAGGGATGGAGGAATTGAACTCTGGCTGGCCTCGTGCAAGGCAAACTCCCTACACGCTGTGCTATCACTCCAGCCCAAAGAGATTCTTATCTTATTTTTTTGTTTGGGGGCCACACCTGGTGATGCTCAGGGATTACTCCTGGCTCTGTGTTTGGGATCATTCCTGGCGGTGGTCAAGGGACCATTTCAGGTGCTGGGGAGTGAACCCAGGTTAGTCGTGTGTAAGGCAAGTGCCCTACCCACTGTACTATCTCCCAAGCCTAATTAAGAAATTTTTAAAGCGCAGTGTAACTGCGCCTTCTTCATTTTAGAAATGAACCCAAGCAAGCAGGCAGATTTTGTGGAATAAAGACCGACCATATGTGTTTAATGGGGGAGGTGAGACTTTCTTGTCCTGTCTAGACCTGCAGAGTTTGATGTCTTCAAAGACTGTAATCCCCCACACTCTTGGTGTTTCATTTCCACAGGCGCCCATTCAGCAACTGGCTGACCGCTTTAGTGGCTACTTTGTTCCATTTATCATCATCATTTCGACTTTGACGTTGGTGGTATGGATAATAATCGGTTTTATCGATTTTGGTGTTGTTCAGAAATACTTTCCTGTAAGTTGAATGCCTTGGGCACTATGATTATTGTATTTTAAATAATCGGTTGCCATTAACCTTCCTTTTCTTTCCTGTGTTAGATTCACTGGGCTTTGGTTACCCTTTATCCTTTAATATGGGTTTGTTTTGTTTTTACAGCAGCAAAATCATAGCCGGGGAGAGAAAGTGACTGTATGTGTGTAGGCAGATGTTTATCAAAGGGGACCTTCACTTCTGAGCGACCTTCACTGATGCTCAGTTGCCAAACCTCTCAGTGTCAGTGCTGAAAACTTCAACATCACCTGGTACTGTCTTTCTTGAGGTTACGAGCTATGCAAAGAAGACAGGTTATTTTATGATGTTAATGGCATGATAATATTTAACAGATTTACACACCTGCAACTTCACCACTTCACAAGCAATGCTAATAACGTCTTCATAATTAAGTATTTCTTAAACACTCTGTATGAACGTTAAACGTGTATTTTGTGGTTTAAAAAGTGGATTTAGAATAATCTCTTAAGAAATAATTGTTAAGCAGCACCACATCCTTGGGCTTTGGCACTGAACCACCAGTTTGCTTGGCTCAGAACTACCATCAGCTGGGAAGGCCCTTGAGCATTGGAAGACCCCCAACTCTGAGAAAAATAAAGGAAAAACAAAGAAATTACAGTTTAACCCAATCTATAAAAACCGTGGGAAATGCAAAATTTTTTTTGTATCCATGAAGGGCTAGTGACCTCTTCTAGTTGTCGTTGAGAACTGTCTCTGAGCATAATAATATTCCACCTTATTTAAAAAAAATTGGCACTATGCTCAGGGGTCATTTCTGACTGGCTCAGAGGACCATATGGGATGCCAGGGCTTGAAACAAAGTCAGGTGCATGCAAGACAAGTGCCCTATTATTGCTCTGGCCCCCAACGTTCTACCATATTTTAAAAAGTAAAATGAAAACCACCTGGCTGAAGAGATAGTACAGCGGGCAAGGCACTTGCCTTACACATGCCTGACCCTGGTTTTATTCCCGGCACCCCGTACAGTCAGGAGTGATCTCTGAGCACTGCAGTCTCAAAAACAAAAAGTATGTGGCTCAAAAACAGACAAATAAAAAAGAATTCAAAGAGAAGTATCAGAGTCCCTTCAACCCTTTCTGACAGCTCAAGATGACGCTCTTGGTCACTGTGTGTCCCTGGACGTGGTGGCCTGAAAGGGTCTGCGAGTGTGGGACCGCAGGACGGCACTGCATGTCTGGGAAACAGCACCAGCACTAGCTGGAATGTATGACTTTTTGCTCTTTTCTGCCTTTCTATCTTACTTTGGCTTTTTTGTTTGTTTTTCTCTGCACTATCAGGGAGGATGCTGGAGAACGAGGTACTGCATGTCCTTAAGCTCCTGTTATCACTGTGCCATATAAAATTATTTGTAGGAATAGTATTTGTGCCCACTTTGAGAAATATACCCAGTTCTATCAGAAAGGCAGGTACTATGTTGACAAGAATTACTGGGTTATTTTTTCTCAAATTGTTCCGTTTTTATCTCAGAGTATCACACTGTGTCTTAAACAAGTCTCTCCCTCTGCCAAAATCCAGCCTCTTCTGTGAAAAGGAAATGACCCTTTAATTATGCATCTTATTTTAGGATCCTCATCTTAATCTTTGTGTCCAGAGATACTGGCCATTTTGAAAAATAACCCATGATAATTTAAGATGCCAGAATGCAAATTATAGTAATACCAACACATGCAACTGAGTAACTCGAAGGTATATCCATATCTTGTATCTTTGGGGCTGACAGAACAGTTGTGAAAAATAAAAGAAAATAAAGATAATTCCAGGGCTTTTCCTAGAATATTTGCATTACTCCTTTGTTGGACATCTTTCCCATATAGGTAGAAAGCTTTATTCAGGGGCCAGAGAGATAGTACAGCTGGTAAGGCACTTGCCTTGCACCCGGATGACCCAGGTTCAATCCCCAGCATCCCGTATGTTCCCCTGAATACCACCAGGAGTAATTCCTGAGTGCAGAGAAAAGAATAACCCCTGAGCATTGCCGCGTGTGACCCAGAAAGCCAAGAAAAGGAAGGAAGGAAGGAAGGAAGGAAGGAAGGAAGGAAGGAAGGAAGGAAGGAAAGAAGGAAGGCAGGCTTTATTCAACCAGAAGCAGATCACTCGTTACTATTGAGATCATAGCACATGCCATTTTGTGCTTGCTTTTTTTATTCAGCAGTATTGCTCCTATGGGCTGGAGCGATAGCACAGCGGGTAGGGCGTTCGCCTTATAAGCGGCCAACATGGCGGACCCGAGTTCGATTCCTCCGCCCCTCTCGGAGAGCCCGGCAAGCTACCGAGAGTATTCGATATGCCAGACACAGTAACAACAAAGTCTCCAATGGAGACGTTACTGGGCCCGCTCGAGCAAATTGCTCCTATAGTTGCATGTCAGGAAGCAGAGAGCTTTTCATTTCAACAGTTGCATCAATTGCATAATGCTCCACCATGCACACCACACCCACGACAAAAGCTCCTGAGTCCTTTCCAGGCTGTTACCATTTAACAACCAAACAAGCCAAAAATATCCCACTGTGATAAATATGCCTGTGGGATGGTCACCTCAGGGTAGATTCAGCAGAGCCCTATCAGTTTTTTTGCTTTCATAATAATCACCAAAAAATATTGTTTTAAAAAATGACGATAACGTGATAGTTATGATTTCTTAGTCATCTTTTCTCTGCACGGTGCTGTACTATGTGTATTTGTATGCATGAGGTGTATGTGAGATGGGAATCATCCTCTCCCTTTAGTTGTGTGTTAGGAGAGAGAGATAGATAGAGAAGGAGGGGGAGAGAGAGAGGGAGGGAGGGAGGGAAGGAGGGAGAGAGGAAGGGAGGAGGGATGGAGGGAGGGAGAGAGAGAAAGGGAGAGGGAGGGAGGGAGGGAAGGAAGTTAGGAAATTGATATCTGAGCCAGGCTGTCAGGGATTTTCCTAGCTCTCTACTCTCACCGTGCCTTTCTCTGATGGGGAGTTTTGTGGGATCAGAGAGGGGAACCCAGGGAGACTCCAGCACAGGACAGGGCAGTGTCTCCCAGCTCTACTCCTCCCGATACCCCCTTGGGGTCAACCGCTGCCCCTGAGCTGATCTTGGATGGCCAGGATTCTGGGCAGCTCCTCCTGGAACTCTCGCCGACTTCTCACCTATTCTCTTCCCTTTCCCACGCTCTAGACCCCAAGCAAGCACCTGTCCCAGGCTGAGGTGATCATCCGCTTCGCGTTCCAGACGTCCATCACGGTGCTGTGCATTGCCTGCCCCTGCTCGCTGGGCCTGGCCACACCCACAGCGGTCATGGTGGGCACGGGTGTGGCTGCGCAGAACGGCATCCTCATCAAGGGGGGCAAGCCTCTGGAGATGGCCCACAAGGTTGGTACCGCATCGCGGGGATGGTTTCAGGGTTTTATGCTGCCTGGAGGTTGCTGTTAGCTTAGTCCTAGTGGAAACGGGGTCTGTGGTCAGGTGGGCCTGTGGCACAAGCAACTCAAGCATGTGGCCTTGCCTGCCCCAGGATCTGGTCACCTCTGAGCACACAGCTAGGCGCCTTCCTCTTGAAACCGAGTATCCAAGGGCTGGAGAGATAGTACAGTGGGTAGGGCGCTTGCCTTGCAACCTGCCCACACAGATTTGAACCCCGAACCCCACCAAGAGTGATCCCTGAGCACAGAACCAGGAGTAAGCCCTGGGCACCACGGGTATGGCTCCAAAGCGAACAAAAATAAATACTAGTGCCTAGAGGTCAGAGAGATGGTACAGATGGTATAGATGGTATAATGCTGGCCTTGCATGCTTACACCTGGGCTCGATCCTGGCACTCCCTTTTGTCCCCTGAGCCCCACCACGAGTGATCTTGGAGCACAGAGTCCGAAGTAAGCCCTGAGCATTGTGAAGTGTGGGCCCCAAATCAAACAAAACAAAACTAGTTCCTGTGTAGGGGCTGGGGAGATGACTCAGAGGGTCGGAGTGCCTGCTTTGCACGAGGCAGCCCGGGTTCCATCCCAGCACCTCTGGGAGAAACTCCCGAGCACTGCTCCAGGAGAGCCTGAGCAGCAGGTCGGAGTGGCTCAAAGACAAGCACAAGGTGCATCTGTTTAAACCCCAGCTTAAGAGAAGAACCAGACGGGGCCTGGGCACAGTGCAGGTAAGTCCTCCAGGGGCCAGACCGGGGGTGAGAGCTGCCTCAGAAGCTCAGACTGTCTCTGCTGAGGGTTGACGGTTACAGAATTAAACACTGCACTGCGTACGTATGTACAACTCTTTACAGTGAGGGTTGATTATTCCCATTTTAGCCGTGAAGTGCAGCAGGAGGAGGCGAGGTAACCATCTCTGCACCCAGGAGGTTGGCAGGGCCTTGGGGAACGGAGCAGTGAGCATCAGGGCATACGAAGGTTCTTCAGGTGCCCGCAGCCTCCCAGCTTTCCTTTGTGTGTTTACCACTAGCCATATCAGGGCTGGGGGCGGTCCAGGGCTCAACTCTCAGCAAGTCATTGGGGACAGTGGGAGACAAGTGAGGCTGCGAGGACAGCTTATGGGTGAGGGAAGGAAAGGGAAGGCTCACATGAGACCTCACAGTTGAATGAGGGGCGTGGCCAGACCGGAGAGCTGGGAAGGAAGTTACGGTGGGGTGCTGGCCACCCTGAGTCTGCACGGTCAGAGTCTGGCTGTGCTCCTCACTGTTCTGTCCCCAGTCTCGAACACAGTGGCACACTGAAAGCACACAGCAGCCTTTTGCTGGCTCCATAAATGAGGGAGAGGGAGAGAAGAGAGAGAGAGAGCCAACGAGAGACGGACAGGGGACGAGGCTGCAGGGAGGAAGGTGGGAGCACCCTGGCCAGAGGTGAAGGGCTAAGGCCAGGCAGATGACTCAGTGACTGCAGAGGCCCTCACTCAGGAGCACAAACAAGCCAAATCAGCTTTTTGCAAAAGGAGACAGAGCTCTGCCACCTGTCTGTGCAGACAGCAGGCTGCCCTGTAGGGTTTCGGGAAGTGTGGGGTGCAGGCATGGTGAGCCTTCAGAAGGAGGGGTTTAGAAAATGCACGGGCACTGAGTGTGACTGTGGCTGATGGCTGGGGCCTGCAGGAGCACTGGTGACAGTCAGCTCCGGGAGTTTGTACCCAGATGCCCGTGCTTCCTTGCAGCTGGGGTGAGAACCTCATTTGCCGGGGTCCTGGAGTTGGGTACTAGCAGTGGCCAGGGAGATGCATCCCCTCGGAGAGTGCCGACACCCGGCCTCCTTGAGGAGCCACCCACCCCTCATTATGGCCCGGGAGGCTCTGCGGTGGCTACTGTCCCCTCTGGCCATGGGGCAGGAGTTCTGGGCTCAGACCCCCTCAAGGTTAAGCTACAGCACGGGTGATGGTGGTGAGGATGTTGATGTCAGTGGTCTGGCAGAGCAGAGAGGAAATAACAGCTGGATCATAGAGGGCTGTGTTGGGGCATGATGCCTGGGTGTGGAGCCCACTAGGGCAGGCTTGTGTGAGGTCCTGGCCTTGGGTCTCCTCCATCTCTGCCCTCATGGAGATGTGGGTGTTTTGACAGATCAAGACCGTGATGTTTGACAAAACCGGCACCATCACCTACGGAGTCCCCAAAGTCATGCGGGTCCTCCTGCTGGTGGACATGGCCACACTGCCCCTCAGGAAGGTTCTGGCTGTGGTGGGGACAGCGGAAGCCAGCAGTGAGCACCCCTTGGGCGTGGCAGTCACCAAGTACTGCAAAGAGGTATGTACCAGGCCCCAGCCCTCGCTGGTCCCTTGCTGTGGGGGTGGAAGCCGCCTCCCCTCTGGGTGCTCCTCCTCTTGCTCTCCTCCTCCCACTTCTCCTGGCACCTACATCAGCTGCCTTCATGGATGCCTGGGCTTGTCTGGACTTGCAAACCACTTAGCAGGTCCTCGGGCAGCTGGAGATAAGACTTGCCGGGGCAGAGCCCTGGGTATGCAGAGGTGCACTGTAGAGGGACAGTCTTTTCCTGAGCGTTTGCTGGGCACTTGTCTGTGGGACCACAGACCCATCAGAGAGTAGCAACCCAGGCCTCTGTGTGCCCTTAATGCAAAGTTTGCAGGGATGAGGGGGCTTGGGAGGAAGGAGGATGCGGTATCTGAGACAGAGAGGAGCCAGTGGAAGTGAACTCGGGGCCCAGGCTGCCCCTGCACGAACAATTATCTCACCTGATGCAAGGGTCTTTCCAGTTCTGTTCTCAGTCTGAATGTTAACGCAGCAACATGTGCCATGGGGGACTGATGCCTGGATGTGGCACCCACTGGGGCAGGCTTGAGTGAGGTCCGGCCTCGGGTCTCCTCCGTCTCTGCCCTCATGGAGATGTGGGTGTGTGGAGTTGCACTGTAGAGTGACGGCTCCTCCACACCCCCGAGAATGTGCCTGAGCAAGTGCGGCTGTCAGTCATTTGGAGGGGCACATGGGAGCCCCAAAACCGAGTCGACAGCTTGCGGGTCAGGGGAGAAATCCCATTTCCTGTCTTGTTTTTAGTTTAGGGTCTCACAGCCATGTCATAGCTCACTCACATAGGGCATGATTGCTCAGGAAGAATGACCGTCCCCCAAACGATCCTTCCTTCCTGCTCTGTTCACTCTTGTTGTGTCTGTAGACCAACTCGGAGCTCAGGACAGCCCTGCTACCGTGGACTGTCCCATCCTTGTCTTTGGGGGATTAGGGAGCGCCAAGAGCTGGAGCACACCTTGGGTGTGTGACACTCTGACTTTGTTCCTGGCCCTGCATGCCCCCCAAGGAGCTACCAGTGGGGCGAGGACCCCAGATACCACCAGCCATGGTCCGAGGAACTCCTGTATTGCTGAGCGAGCAGCACAGCTCCGTAGGCTCCTGGTAGGGCTCTCAGCCAGTGACTTCCTTCTTTTTGACACTTTCACACCCCATCTTCACTTCCATTAGCTGATGATCCCTATCTCCATTCTAGATGGCCAGGCATTCATGTGCAGAGTAACCCACGAGAGGGCTTGTCGGTGGAGCCATCATACAGTGGGTAGGATGTTTGCATTGCCCATGTCTGGCCCTGAGTTCAATCCCCAGCGTCTCATATAGCCCCTCAAGTCCGCTAGGAGTGATCCCTGAGTGTAGAGCCAGGAGTAAGCCCTGAGCACCAGCAGTGTGACCCAACAGGCCCTCCACCAGAAAAGAGAGAATCTGGGCTGTTGAATCTTGCCCAGCATTCTGAGTCCGAGAAGACTTTCTCGGTTCCTGATGGGTCTCGCTCTTCCTGACTGCTCTCCTCTGCATTCCTGACTGCTCTGCCCCTTCTCCATCCCAGCCCCCACCCCCCTCGTCCCACTCTCACCTCGGCTCTCTCTTCTGTTTCCTTCCTCAGGAGCTAGGGACAGACACCCTTGGATACTGCACAGACTTCCAAGCCGTGCCGGGCTGTGGAATCAGCTGCAAAGTGGGCAGCGTGGAGGGCATCCTGGGCCGGAGCGAGCCCCCGCAGAGTGAGCGGGCGGCTTCCCTGAACGGGCCTGGCAGTGCTCCCGCAGAAACAGGTACCCTGGCCTGTGTGGCTTGCGGGGGCTGGGCTGGGCTGGATCTGGTGGCGGGGTGCCAGGGAGGCCCCGGGGGTGGTGCTGACAGGCCCGCCTCCTGAGAAAGCAGCTCTGGCTCTCACTGTGCCGAGCTCCAGCTCCGTTGCTGTGGGGAGGAGTCCAGGATGATGCTCAGGAGATCGTGGCCCCATCGGCAGTTCTCAGCGGGCTGGGCTGGTGACTGCATGCAGGCTTGGGAATATGATGCTGCTGGTCCCACAGTGCCTCCAGGGCCACACCAGGTGATGCTCTGGGCCATGTGGTCCCAGGAGCCAAACCCAGATCAGATGCATTCTAGACCTGCGTTCTCACTGGGGAATGATCTTCTGTACCTTCACCTCAATTTTGACATTCATGGCAGACAGATGGACCAAAAGCCAGAGCACTGCTTGCCTGCTTTCTTGGTCTTTAGTGTCTTCTTCTTCTCCTCCTCCTCCTCCTCCTTCTCCCTCTCCCTCTCCCTCCTCCTCCTCCTCCTCTTCCTCCTCTTCCTTCTCCTCTTCCTCTACTTATTCTTCTATCTCCAGTGGGCCTTGCTTTTCCTGTGCCGCAGACACACAAGAAAAGGGACTTTCTCCCTTTGTTCTTCTGATCAAGGAAGAACACATGTGGCGGGTCGAGTCCTGTTTACAGAGCTGGACTCAGTCAAGGAAAGCAGATGGGAAGGGTCTTCCTAAGCCAAGAAGTGGCTCTGGTGGTGGGGGGAGGGGGGGGGTGGGACAACAGCTTTGCCTGTTCCAAAGCTAGTTTGCCAGCATCAGCAGAAAGGCCTGGGCACAGTCCCTACCCAAATGGCCCGGCTCTAGTATATTTTCTTGAGTAGGTGGATCTTGAGTAAAAGCAAAATCATCAATTTAGAACCCTGGTGTGAGCTGGTATGTGGTGCCAGGACCTGTCACCTGGTCTGTGAGACACACCTGAGTTAGTGGCTCATGCAGAAGGGCAGGTGAGACGTACCTGCCTCTCAGGAGAAGCTTGGCCTCTGGCTGGTTTCCTGATGGGTCTAAGTAATCCATTATTGCTGCTGGATCTGACTGATTCCTGACTGTGTCAACCCTGGTAGAGAAGGAGCAAGCATTGTCAGGGCACAGAGGGGGAGGGAATGTTTCCCAGAAGGAAGGATGTCCACACCTATAGCACGAGCACCTTCCCCTGCCTGGTGTTATTCACCCACGTATTCTTTTTGGGGGGAGGGGGAGGCATACCTGGCAATGCCCAGGGGTTGCTCCTGGCTCTGCACTCAGAAATTAGTCCTGGCAGTGCTTGGGGGACCATATGGAATAGCAGGGATCAAACCCGGGCCTGCTGTGGGCAAGACAAACCCCTAACCCACTGTACTATCGCTCCAGCTCCTCACCCACAAATTCGCCCACAGGCACTCGGCCATCTGTCATCCTTAAGTCAGGTCTCAGAGACAGAGTGGGTGTTACTGTGGTGGCTGTTCGGGTGAGTCCGTGGCTGTTCTGCTGTGAAAAGGGCTGTGTGACTTCTCGTTCTCTCTCCTGGTGAAATGGGGCTGCCTGGGAATAACCCCAAGTTCTTTGAACAGACGCGGCCCCCCACCTCTTTTCTGTGCTGATTGGAAACCGTGAATGGATGAGGCGCAATGGCCTGACGATCTCCCGCGACGTCAGCGACGCGATGACAGACCATGAGATGAAGGGCCAGACAGCCATCCTGGTGGCGATTGACGGTACCTCTCTGCTCACCTCCCTTCTCTATGGGAGACGAGGGCTGTAGCTGCAGAGATAGCGCCACAAGGAGGGCGCTTTCCTTGCACACAGCGCACCTGGGATCGTTCCCCAGCATTACACATTTCTTCGAACAGCACCAAGAGATGTCTCTGAGCTTTGCCAGGTGTAACCCCAAAACAATTGCAACAAAGAGGGTTTGGCGAGATAGTTCAGATGTGAAGACTCTAGCCTCGCACATGGCCAACCTGGGTTTGATCCCCAGCACCCTCTATGGCCCCCTGAGCACGTCCAAGAGTGACTCCCGAACACAGCCCCTGAGTACTGCCAGGTGCGGCCCAACCTGTCCCATTCCCGAAGTGAGGGTTCTCGGAGATGTGAGACACATAGATTCCTCTTTTGTTGAATGTCTTCTTGTGACTGCAGACTTAGCTCAGAGCCGTGGAGCACATGCTTTGCACGTGTGATCCCTGCACCCCAAACCCCACTCCCAGGGCTGCTCTAGGTATAGCCCTAGGGGTTCATTGGGCTTCACTGGAGGTGCTCCCAGCGCCTCAGAACTGGAGCAGTACCACATTGCTGGCCCGGCCACAGAACTGTCAGAAGCTCATAGCCAGGCTGAGTCTTCTCCAAACAGTGTGGGGAGGCCCCTCTAGAAATATATATATATATATTTTTTTTTTTCTTCTCATTTTAATTCTGTGTTCCTAAAAGCTGTTTTCATTTATCTCTCCAGCCGGAGGCCACGTTCCCTGTCTCTCCATCGCTGTCCCAAGGCCAGCTCTGTTCTGACACCCTGCCCCCAGGAATTGAATTTCATCCACACCATCACTGTTTGCACCTGTCCCTGTGGACAGTTCCCCTCACTCACCACCGCAGACAGACCAACAGGTCCCTTTCCAAGACGCACGATTACAAATGGCTGTAAGCCATGAGCAACCCCACCGCTCGGCCCCTGTGTGGAGCTGCTCATGCACAGAGCTGCCCGTTTGTGGCTCCGGACTCAGATTATCTCAGGCTTTCCATCCCAGCTTGGGGAGTTTCTCACTTGGTTTACCGTGAGTGTCTGCCCGCAGCAGTAAAACTGTGCCTCTGGGAAATAATCCTCCACCTTGTTATGTTTTGAATGCTCCTGTCAACTTGTCCTGTTTGCTAGTTTTGTTTTTGTTTTTCGGACCACACCTGGCATGCTCAGAGATTACTCTAGGCTCTGTACTCAGGGATCACTCCTGGTGGGCTCAGGGGCCCAGAAATCAAACCCTGGTCAGCTGCATGCAAGACAAGCACCCGTCCGCTGTACTGTGGCTCTGGCCCCTTCTCCTCTCTCGTTTCCTGCACCTGCCACCAACCCTTCTCCCAATCCCAGTGAATTTGCTTCCCCTTGGCCTCTCAGAGCAGAAACCGTCTGCCTGGCTGCTCTGCTGCAGGAGTCCTACCCCTCCATGTTCTGTTCTCGCACATCTCAGTCCTGGAAAATAAGTCCTACTATGGGGTCTGAAGATTTCCTACAAAAACGGATTTTTAGGAAGAGACCAAGAAAATTTGCATTCTACCAGTTTTAGTGTTTGTCACTTCTTTTTTTTTTCCTTTTTGGGTCACACCTGGCGGTGCACAGGGGTTACTTCTGGCTCTGTGCTCAGGAATTACCCCTGGCGGTGCACAGGGGACCATATGGGATGCTGGGAATCGAACCTGGGTTGGCTGTGTGCAAGGCAAATGCCCTACCCGCTGTGCTATCGCTCCAGCCCTGTTTGTCACTTCTTAAGCAATATTTGTTTTTCTCATTTTGGGCTGGAGCACAGCAGGTAGGGCATTTGCCTTGCATGAGGCTGACCCAGTAGACCCGGATTCGATTCCTCCACCCGTCTCAGAGAACCCGGCAAGCTACGGAGAGTATCTCACCCGTACGGCAAAGCCTGGCAAGCTACCCATGACATATTCAATATGCCAAACACAGCAGCAACAAGTCTCACAATGGAGACATTACTGGGCCCGCTCAAGCAAATGGATGAACAACGGGAGGACAGTGCTACAGTGCTCATTTATTTTGTTTCTGATTTTTTTTTGTTTAGTGGGGTCAGGGTGCCCAGAGCAGTGATCAGAGGATCTGGAGGCCTCTCTCAGGGGTTCTTGGCCTGCCAGACTATTGGATTAAATGCATATTTCTCAAGCCCCACCACGCTAGGGACCACTAGGGTGGTATCCAGTGGTGCTCCAGCGCCCCCAGGGCTGCACCAGGCAATGCTTAGAGGTTCCATTGGATACCAGGAGTCAACCTAAAATTGTGTACAGGCAAAGCACACATCCTAACCCTCTTGCTATTTTAATAGCAAGTGTCTATTAAATTATTACAAAATAGGACCTTGTAAAAATTATAATATTCTTTGCAGAAAACTTAGAAAGTCCCAATAGTTACAAAGAAAAAAATTGTATCGCGCTTTATACTGTGTCTCAGAGAGCCACTGTTGACATTTGTATGTTCCTTTTAGACCTTAAAAATGAGGATGTGTGTGTGTGTGTGTGTGTGTGTGTGTGTGTGTGTGTCTTCAGGAATTTTGTATGCATCTAGGTATAGGTTGTTGCTCTTACTGACTTGTGGGATTGGGGAGCCAACCCAGGGCCTCTGAGAGTCCCATCCCCAGTCAGTGTGATTCTCAGAGGACACAGTCCACGCCAGATTACTCGGCGTGTTGGCGGCTGCTCCCCGGCACGTGACTTGCCCGTGGGAAGCCGCTTCCCAGCCCCGCGGGACGCTCACCTCGCTCACCTCCGGCTGTTCGCTGCAGGTGTGCTCTGCGGCATGATCGCCATCGCTGATGCCGTGAAGCAGGAGGCGGCGCTGGCCGTGCACACGCTGAAGAGCATGGGCGTGGACGTGGTCCTCATCACCGGCGACAACCGGAAGACGGCCAGAGCCATTGCCACCCAGGTGCGCCCGTGGGGTGAGCTCGCAGGAGCCTGAGAACCCCAACCCAAAGGCAGCACGCAGCATCCTTGCAGCACTTGCTGGGTGCGCTTCCTAGCCTCGCTCCCAGCCGCTCCGGCCCCAGTGGTGCAGCGCCCCCTCGAGGCCGCTGCTGCCCTCGCTGGTCTGGCCCCCAGCGGTGCAGCGCCCCTAGAGGCCGCTGCTGCCACTGCAGAGACCCCACTTTGTGCCAGGACCTCCTTCCCCTAGTCCCCAGGTCTTGCAGAGGAAATAAAACCCAAGCATCAAGGCACAAAAATTTGTAAGTCTGCACCTGTACCTCATGGTGTTTCATTAATAAAACTTTTTAAAATTTAAAAAAATAGGGGCTGGAGCAATAGCACAACGGGTAGGGCGTTTGCCTTGCGCACGGCCAACCCAGGTTCAATTCCCAGCATCCCATATGGTCCCCTGAGCACTGCCAGGGGTGATTCCTGAGTGCAGAGCCAGGAATAACCCCTGTGCGTCTCCAGGTGTGACCCAAAAAGCAAAAAAAAAATTATTTTTTAAATATAAAGCAAAGTAAAAATAAAAAAAATAAGAAAGGAAACAAAAATAAATGTAAAACAGGTTACGTGTGTCCAAGAAAATGTCTTTTGAAATGATAGCAAATCACTCTGCTATTTTAGGAAACACAATATAAATCACAAATCTAAATATTTTTAAATAACATTTAGAGTCACTGTATTTTTATCAAAATTATTAATTGAAAATACTATTCATCATTTTTTCTTTGAAAATACATTGATATGCTTAATTGTTTTCATTTTTTTAATTTTTAAATTAGACAGGTGAGTTCAAATGACTACAAAAAAAAGACTTATTGAGTGCTGAATAAACAAGAAGGTTCTGGGTGGGTTTTTTTTTTTCCTGTTTAAGGACTGTTTCGCTAGCTCGACCCACCTCACCAGCCCTGCAGAGCCTTCCTGTGTTTGTGCATTGGGGCGGGGAGTGGCCTCGCTGCTGACCTACCTGCCATTCCAGTCAGGCAATCCTCCGATGCAAATTCCTCAAAAGTATAACCTCTCCCACCTCCATTCCCCGCCACCAACGTCTGTATAGAGCTGTTTGCTCTTGAAAGGGAAACGCTTTTATAAGGAAAGCCGCGGTCCTTTTATTTCCAGGCCCCACCTTGATAATACTGCGCTTGCCAAGGACCCTCTTCCTGGCCCCCAACTACACGCGTTTAAGTGATGACCATGCTCCCAGGACGAGGAGGGCACCGTGGAGAGGTCGATGGTCCCATGACTGGGGACCGCACTCAGAGCATGTACTTCCTGCTTCCCTCGAGGGGTGCCCAGGACACAGCCGACTCCTCCTGGGCCAGAGGGAGCTTGAGGCAGGAGTGGTCAGATGGAAAAGGGAATGAGAGCTGGGGGAAGGGAGGCGGACCTTCCTTGCTGGCACAGTTCCAGAAAGGCAGGGGTTGATGAGAACAGCGACAGTGCAGAGTCTGCAAAGACCTGCGCGACGCCCTTGGGCATGGGAGCGAGTCCAGTTCTCAGGGAGCTCGGAAACGACAGTGCTGTTTTTGAAATAGATAATGGAATTGGCGTCCATTGGAGACTCAGCAGGCGAGTGATGGTCTTGGTGGTGGTTTTGGAAAAAAGTCACTGGACAGCCTACAGAAACGAGAGTTTGGAAGGTGGGGTGCAGGCAGCAAACTGACCCCGGAGGACGGTCCACCTGGGGCCTCACTGGGCTCTGTACACATGCTCACAAGTCTCTGCTGCTCTTGTGGCCCCTTAGGTTGGCATCAACAAGGTCTTTGCAGAGGTGCTGCCTTCTCACAAAGTGGCCAAGGTGCAGGAACTGCAGAGTACAGGCAGGAGAGTGGCCATGGTGGGCGACGGGGTCAATGACTCGCCAGCGCTGGCCCGGGCTGATGTGGGCATCGCCATCGGGACAGGCACTGATGTCGCCATCGAGGCAGCCGACGTGGTCCTCATCAGAGTGAGTTGGGCCGTGTCCCACCCATGCTGGGAAGGTGGGGAGGTGTTGGAAGGTAGGACCCAACCACTCCCCACACACCCCACCTGCCTCTCCTGCAGAACGACCTGCTGGATGTGGTGGCCAGCATTCACCTCTCCAAGAGGACTGTCTGGAGGATCCGCCTCAACCTGGTGCTGGCGCTCATCTACAACCTGGTGGGGATCCCCATTGCGGCAGGTAGGGGCCCCTCCAAACAGGGGCCACCGGCCTGCTGGCCACCAGCATTTTGAAATGAGTCCATTTTATGTTCCCCACGTCTCTGAGAACGAACGAAGCAGCCACGTGGCCGTCCATGCTTGTTCTCCCTCGGGGGCTAGCCGAGGTTCCAGCTCTTTATTCCCTGTGGAATAAAGAACCACGTGCCAGACCCACAGTCTGGGAAAGAGCCATGATTGCCAGTTGCAGGGTTCCTGCTACCTGCCAGGCACCGCAAAGGATGTTTCAGAAACTTAGCTGAGAAATCGTTCCCAGGACCACACAGTGCAGTGGGGAAGTTACACGTTTTGCATGGGGTCAACCCAGGTTTGATCCCCCAGGCACCATCGGGAGAGATTCCCCAGCACAGAGTCAGGAGTAAGTCGTGAGCACAGCCTGTATGAACCACCCCCCTCCCAAAAAAAAAGAAAAAGAAAAGAAAAATTGATCCTGGCCAGGTTACCCCCAGATGCACAGTAATGACACTGGTCAGAGATGGTTCTCCCTCCAGCACCGTTGAATCTCCTGCACCTGATGGAGCACTCTCTAGATGCTCCTTCAGGGACGGGCTCCTTCAGAGATGCCACCTCCCTCCTCAGTTTGGCCCACTGTGCCAGCAGGTCTCCAGGCCCCTCTGCTGAGCTGCTCCGAGCCCTGAGTGTAGGCGGCCTGTGCAACCGGAGCGCAGTTCCCATTGCGTGCTCACGGGTACCTGCGTGCCTCAGCCAGAAGCTCTATTTCTGCCCCTTCCCTCTAGCATCTGACCCCCCAACACACACACCTGGCACCACTTCCTGGGGTCTCTGGGATTCCCTTTTCCCTTGGCCCCTTCTGATGTCACCAGTGCACCCCCCTTCCCTGTAGCGTCCCTCCTGTCCAGCTTGGGGATGATCTGTGACTCTCACCACCCACCTGTAGTCCTGAGCTCCCCGGGGGGCTTCTCGGGGGGCCCCGGGGCTGGCTGTGAGTGCCACTGTCCCCACCTTGCCAGGTGTCTTCATGCCCGTGGGCATCGTGCTGCAGCCGTGGATGGGCTCGGCGGCCATGGCGGCCTCCTCCGTGTCCGTGGTCCTCTCATCACTGCAGCTCAAATGGTGAGTTCCCCCACAGGGTCCTCTCCCCTCTGCACTTGGGGCATAGCTGTGGGTCTCAAGGAGGCGTGTGTCACACTCAGGGGGTGTCTCGGGGCTGTCAACCAAGGCCCAGGCTGAAGGAACGTCCCAAGTAGAAATAAGTGCGTGCATCTATATGACACGGTTTATCAGCACCACATGCAAGTAATCCACATGCAAATAACCCTCCCCATCCTCACAGGCAAGGCCAGGCCAGTTCTTCTGTCCTGTGTTTGTTGAGGTGAATATACAGGCATGGAATCTCAGTGGCAGTTTTCCTCTTAAAAAAATGTTGGAGGGTCTGGAGCGATAGCACAGTGGGTAGGGCGTTTGCCTTGCACGTTGCCGACCCGGGTTCGATTCCCAGCATCCCATATGGTTCCCTGAGCACTGCCAGGAGTAATTCCTGAGTGCAGAGCCAGGAGTCACCCCTGTGCAACACCGGGTGTGACCCAAAAAGCAAAAAAAAAATGTTGGAGTCCAGAGTGATAGTACAGCAAGCAGATTGGCTCATGCCTTGCACGGAGCTAACCTGGGTCTAATCCCCAACACCCCCATATGTGATCTTTCAAGCCCTTCCAGGAGTGATCCCTGAGTGGGGAATTAGAAGTAAGCCCTGAGCACAGCTGAGTAGGCCCCAAAAACCAAAAGAAAAAAAACAGTTGTTTTGTGTTTTTTTTCCCCTCATGGATCAGGGAGATACTATAGGGAAATACTATATACTACAGAGCCAAGATACTATAGAGATACTATAGGGAGATAACTATAGGCCCAGCCTGCACCTGATTGGGTTCCATCTCAGCACTGCTGGGACCCCGGAACATGACCAAGTGCAGTGCTGACACCCCCTGAGCATTTCTGCAGTGGCCTTCACAGAACCCAGCCTCAGCACTCGCTCCAGCTTTGAACCTTAGTCTGGCTGGGCAAGTAGCACCAGGATTTGTACTTTTTAGCTTTGTAACTTTCCCCAGCCCGGTTGAATCTCCTACACCCCAGAGGGCCCTGTCTGGATGCTCCTGTAGGGAGGTGCCACTTCCCACCTCAGCTTGCCCCGTTGTGCCTGAGGAGTCTGTTGACCCCGTACTGAGCTGCTCCGAGCCCCGATGGCAAGTGGCCTGTGCAATCAGTGCCAAGGTCCCCACTGCATGCTGGACCTGGACCTTGTGAACACCGCTTGGGAAGAATCGCCCCCCCCATTAATAAATAATCATTTATTCATCTTTTCAAAATTAACTGACCCGCTGCCTCTGCACCAGGCATTGGAATAGAAAGTTGCTGCATCAGCCAAACCTTGCCTGAGTCCTAGGAGTTTAGTAACCTTTCCTGGGAAGCCCACCAGGCTTCAGAGTCATCTTTCCCTCGAGGACTTAAAACTCGTCCCCAGGTACCCCCTGAAGCTGTCCATGTGTCCAGAATTCGGAATGACTCTGGACTTTCGCTCTGCAGCTACAGGAAGCCTGACCAGGAGCGGTACGAGGCCCAGGCCCACGGACGCATGCGGCCACTGAGCGCGTCCCAGGTCAGCGTGCACGTCGGCCTGGATGACCGGCGGCGGGACTCCCCCAGGGCCACGGCCTGGGACCAGGTCAGCTACATCAGCCAGGTGTCGCTGTCCTCCCTCAAGGCCGACAAGCTGTCCAGGCACAGCAACGGGGCCGACGACGCCGGGGACAAGTGGTCCTTACTCCTGAACGACAGGGACGAGGAGCAGTGCATCTGAGAGCCCACCAGGCCCTCTGGGGGGTGATGCTCTAACCACGCGGGCCACGGTGCCAGCCGCAGGACCCCTGTCCAGCCCGCGCCCCACCCCCCCCCCGGGGGGATTGGCCAGATGTTCTCAGCCAGCCCCCTCCAAAGCTCAGGGGCTCGCGGGGAGCCTGCCGGAGGAGGACAATGCCCTTGGAACCAGCCTCTGCACAGGGCACCGCAGAGCCTGAAGCCCGGCCTACCCCCCGGCGCCCAGCACCTCATGCTCCTGAGACCACAGCTTACCTCAAGCCGCCCTGTTGGTTTTTCATTGTCGCGGTCGCTTTTCTTCTCATTTCTTCACACTGAGAATCCTCTGTCATCTTCGAGGGCCAGGGCTGATCCCTCACGGTCCCCGCTGCTGTTGTGAAGCGCTTCCTCAAGTGCACTCGTGTGTGTGTGCGCACGCGCGTGTATGTGTGTGTGTTCATGTACGCATGGGATCATATGTGCACATATTCATGTAGGTTCATGTGTTTGTGTGTGCTCCTGTGCATCTGCTCATGTATGCATGTGCGTGCTCCTGTGTATGTGATCTCCTGTGCTGCTTATGTGTGTTTTTGTGTTTGCTCATCTGTGCACCTGCCCATGTGTGTGCATGTGTGTGCATGTGTGCTTCTGTGTCTGCCTGGGTATGCACTCGTGTGTGCTCCTGTGTGTGAACTCCTGCATGTGTGTGCACATTCTTGTGCCTGTCAGCTGTCTGGTCCCAGCCAGAGAGCTGGCTGTACTTTCTCTCAGGCAGAGGCGGCTTCTTTGCTTCCTCACATACCTCCTCCGTGGAACACGATGGCTGCCTCGGGCTGTTTAGCTGTAGGTTTTTGTCTCAGAGCTTGAGACTTGAGTCCAGAATGCAGCCTGCTCTGCGCCTGGTGCTTGGTGCTCGGAGCAGCTTTCCAGAGGAGGAGGCATGGGACATGCAGACGCCTCCTTGCACGCTTCCAGATGCTTCCCCCATGACCTGCTGCCTTGGGTTACCTACTGGAGTGCAGGGTACACAGTGACCCTTGGGAAGAGAAGAGGGCAGACTCCTGTGCATGACCAGCTGGTGCCTTAGCGGAGAGGGGTGACCACCAGAACCCAAGGGGGAATCTGGTTGGTGATGGTGTATGTGCTTGGAATCGGTCCTACGCACACTCAGACCATCATCGTTGTAGTTATTGAATGGCAGCTCCTTTTGGGTACCAGATAAACACTTCTTCCTAGGGTCCCTCTTTGCCGCCCAACAAACCAGCAAAGTGGCTGTTGCATTTTGTGTCTTACAAGAGAACTGAGATGTGTAACTTCCCGCCAGGGCCTCATGGCCAGGGCACGTGCTGGACCAGGCTGGACACCCCAGGGCTCTAACTACTGCCACCGGGAGCATCCGTTTGCTGGTTAAGAATAAACAAGCAAAGTGACCTTATTCCTAGGGGAACAGATGTCCCTGCCGGGGGGTGGGCTGCCGGGGGTCCCTGACCTTTCCCTGGGCTGGGCTGGCTGCTTTCCAGGCACTGCCTATGGTGTGTTTTTTGCTGGGACTTGTCTGTTCTGGGCCTCACAGTAGCGTTTGCTGTTTGAATGTTTTCCCTCTTCCTTCCCAGCCATTTCGAGTCTGTCTCCTCTTGCGTCTTCCCTTCATTCTTCATTCGTTGTACTCAAGGAATGTTCCTTGTCTCCTCACTTGGCTAATCATTGTTTAAAGAATCTAATTGTATTGATTTTTTTTTAAAAAGAGAACTTTTAGAACCATAAGCATCATGTTTATATTGACCTGAAAATATATAGTTGTACAAAAAATAGCCTTTTAGATATTCCAAAGGGTGGTGGTGGTGAAGAGAAGTCAGATAAGAACAGTTCCTGCTGCAGAAGATGTCTCTGGTGACTTGGGAAGAGTCACCTGTTTACTTGTCTGGAAACCAACCTTTCTGCCTCCCCATGGGAGGGTCTAAGCCGTGGTTAGCACAAGGACCAGGTACTTGCTCTGCTTGACCTCTTGGGGATAGCGGAAGGGACAGGATGCCACCAGCCCTCATCCCCTTGCGAGCCTCTCCTGAGGACCAGGCCTGCCACAGGGGTCTGATTGGGGAGCACTGAGGGCAGAGCCCCCTTGAAGTGTCTCCCTCTGCAAAGGACCTACGGGTCTACCACCAGCATCTGTGCTTGAGTCGGAAAATTGACACCTTCCAAACACACACATTCAGATTTCATTTTACCTTTCTTGATGATTTGAGGAACAGCCTCCAGAATTGTGCTCAGGGGCCTAAGGACCACTCTCAGTGATGCTCAGCCCAACACCTCATGGTTCAGGTCTCCAGCCCGGCATGTGGCCTCACTCATGCCAAATGGCACTAGGACTCCCAGGGTCTCTGAGAGAGTGGATGGGGGGCGGGAGTCCTGCACCCAGGGCCAAGGATCAGACTCAAGGCCCAACACATACGAGGCATGTGCTCCAGCCTTTGAGAAATCTTCTCAGCCCTGTGCACGTTGGATCCAGAGGGCTGTTTTGGTGTCTTTGGTCCCAAAAGAAATGGGGTGAAAGTCTGGACTCTGCTGGGAAGGCTTTGTGGGCACCCTGGGGGAATAGTGTGGGGCCAAGTGAGCTGCAGTTAAAGGTGAGGATGATTGTAATCTACCACTAAGACTCAGGCACTTTTTCGGGGGTCGGAGGACACCTGGCAGTACTCAGAGATTACTCCTGGCGGTGTGTGTGTGTGTGGGGGGGGAACATATGGGATGCTGGGGATCAAACCCAGACTGGCTGCCTGCAAGACAAATGCCTTATTTGCTGTACTACCTCTCTGGCCCATAGAGGGGGGGGGGGGCTTTGTAGAGTGAAAGATGGTATTGTTGGTAATTATAGAGGTTCTGTAAGGGAAGTGGGACATGGGGTTACCACTTCCCATAAAAGGGAAATAGGATGGCCAGAGACATAGTACAGGGGTAAGGCACTTGCTTTACATGGGGTCAACCCTGGTTGGATCCTTGACACTCCATATGCCTCCCATACAACCCCACCCCACCCCCAGCACCGCCAGAAGTGATTCCCGAAAGCAGAGGCAGGAGTAAGCCCTACTAGGTATGGTCCATCCTGCCCCCCAAAAAAGAACAGAGAAGGCTAGGGGCCTGGATGATACACAAAACTGGGTTCAATTCCTGATACTATGTGGTCCCGAGCATTGCCAGGTGTGTCCCTGGAGACCCCTGCATCACAGGAGCGGCCCAGGTAATGGCCAGCACAGGGTCCGAGCAGTAGCATACCCTCTGGACCTTGCGTGGAACTGCTGGCTTGATGGGGCCCTAGGTTCCTGAGCACTCACTGGTAAGTGCCCTCCCCCAGAGAAAAGGAACTAGACCTTGGGAAGTCATCACTGACACTGTCACATTAGAACTCAAATTGTACACACAGATGCACCGGTGATAGGACCCTTTAACAAGATGGTATTTTGTTTTGTCTGGGAGAGGGTTTGGGGCCACACCCAGTGGTGCTCAGAGCTTACTTCTGGCTCTGCATTCAGGAATCACTCCTGGCAAAGTCCAGAGGACCACACGCAGTTCTGGGGATTGAACCCGGGTTGGCCACATGTAAGGTAAAAAAGCCTTATCCTCTATACTATCACTTGGAGTCCCCGTTTAACAAGCTTTGAGGTTCCATTCCCCACCCCCCCCCCCACACACACACCCATCACATCCTGATTCAAACTCTTCCTGTGTGATCACAGGGTCTGCTGTGCTTCCAGCCTTCTGGAGGACAATCCAGCTTCGTGCTGACCAGGCCTAATTTCCTGGATGCCTGGGTGGGAGTTTCCTGCATCCATGTCCCATTCTATTTATTTGTTTTTTTGGTTTGGCTAGGGCCATACCTGGTGGCATTCAGGGCTGAATTCTGGCTCTATGTTCAGGGATCACTCCTTGCAGTGGTCAGGGGATCATTTGTGGTGTCAAAAATCAAATCTGGCTTGGTGACATGCAAGGCAAATGTCCTACCTGCTGTATTATTGCTCTGGTCCACATGTGCCGTTCTGAATGGAAGGACTGACAGCATTCTAGGAAAGGGATGCCACTTCCTTAGAAAATAAATGCTTCTTTTTTTTTTGAGAGGGGCCATACCTGGCAATGCTCAGGGGTCACTCCTGGCAGTGCTCAGGGCACCATATGGGATGCTGGGGATTGAACCTGGGTTGGTTGCATGCAAGGCAATGAATGCTTCCTAAACTTCACACTGGCCCTAATGAATTCTTACTAAACTTCACACAGGAGCAAATTCTCCACATGTAGTTCCACATGTAATGTTTCCTATCTTTGGACCTAGTAAAGATTTGTGATCACTTACACGAATATAAAATTGTAGTTTTAATTTTTACAATTAGCACCTGGGAACTGACATACCATAGAAAAAATCCCTAACTGATTCTGCAAATTGACCAAGGAGCAATGATTAATAAACGTGATCTTTATTTTCAGAAAATCAAGCATAGATCAGATTCAGCCAAACAGGTTAATTAAAAATAAAGATTATTTCAATTAGAGTGTCTGTTTTTGTTTCTGCTTTTAAAAATGCCATGAGATTGATGAAAAAAATTACTATCATCTCAGTAGGTAAGTTCTTTCATGCATATGAAATTCTTGAGTCAGAAACCAAGTTTTATTTGCATTCTATTCCTTAACTATATATTTTGTTGGGGTTTTTTGTTTGTTGGTTAGTTTTGGTTTTGGGGTCACACCCGACAATGCTCGGGCCTTACTCCTGATTCTGCACTAAGGAATCACTCCTGGTGTTCGGGGACTATGTGGGTTGCCAGGTATCGAACCCAGTTTGGCCATGTGCAAGGCAAGCACCCTACCTGCTGTACTATCACTCCAGCCCCTTTTTCCTTTTGGGTGACACCCGGTGATGCACAGGGGTTACTCCTGACTCTACACTCAGGAATTACTCCTGGCAGTGCTCAGGGGACCATATGGGATGCTGGGAATCAAACCTGGGTGGGCTACGTGCAAGGCAAACGCCCTACCCGCTGTGCTGTTGCTCCAGCCCCGCCCTGTTTTTTTTTTAAAGGAAAATTGCATATACAAAGAAATACTCTGGCAATCATTTGTGCTGAGTCTTAGTTTCCCTTTTGAGCTTACCTTGATAGGTGGGAGAGCTGACTTGGGACTGGAGAGGACAGTAGGACTGGTCGGAATGAAACCACTCCACTCCATTTTCAAGCTCAGCTTTGGCAGGACACACACTACTGTTTGGGTTCATTTCAGAGGGAGACACCTGCTTGTCTGCAGTTGGCTTTTGTGTGAAGACAATGATGATTGAGATTACAGGATAGAATATGAGAATGTTAAATAATGCTACCAAATCCCAAGCTTCCTTATTCAAGAAGATGGATAAACGTGTAAAATCATCCAAGGATTATGATGAAAACAAGAATTGACGGTGATTGAACTTTTTTTTAGGAAAGACTGGGGCTTCGGAGATAGATAGTATAGGGATAAAAGCAGGGCTGGGTGCCCTCTTGCCTGGCACCCAGCCCACCACACAGGGTAAAGCATCAGGACCACCTCTGGTCCCCTGAGCCTCACCAGGAGTGATCTCTGAGCACAGAACTCTGAGCACCGTGAAGTGTGGCCCAAAAACAAAAAGAAAATTTGGGAAAGGGCTGCTATTACGGCTTCCCTGCAAGCAGAATGATTGCTTCAAGCAGAAATTTAAACACCGAAATAAAGGGAAGAAGGCGGCCACAATTCCCCCGCATCTGACTCCCCTTAAAGGAAACCCCAGAAGCATGATTTCATGGAGGGATGTCTTTTGGAAGTGGACCACAGAGGGAGTCATGCTTGTCAGCTCAGAGGACAGACCCCATTCAGTGTATGAGCACCCCATCTGTGTGGGAGTTCTGGGTCCCCACGGTGGAACCAAGCTCTGCATCACCGTGCCCCATCAACGGATTGGGGACCAGGAACTGATCATCCAGGCGACAGCTCTGGTTCTGGTCACGAGTGTCCTGCTCCATTGGCCCTGCCAGAGCAGGTCTCTTCTCCTGAGCTGGGCTTCCTCCATCCCTCGGGGTGCTGAGCACAGGCATCCTCTGTAACCAGGATGGTGTGTTTCAGCCCAAGGGCCACCAGGTGTCTCTCTGACCAAAACCAGCTCCTCGTCTGTAACCAGGGATCTATGGATCACTTTGGCTGCATCTGGAAATTCACATAAAAAGGCAGCCCAAGAGGACACACGCGAGGGCAGCATGGGAGGGGAGTGTGGGAGGCTGAAGCTCAGCCTGGGCCTCTCTGGCTCTTGCAGGGATTCTGGTGCTTTGCGGCCCTTTGTAGCTGCCCCTCAGGCTCCTCATACTAGAACTGAGCTGGACCGAGCCCTGAGTGTGCTGTTGAATGATGTTATTATACACGCTCTGCTATTGCGTGTGTTGGGGCATCAGACCATCTTGTAAGCTTAGATTTT